AGACTCAATTCAACACTTGGAGTCAAAACATTTTTTGCAAGTTGTACTTGATTTTGTGAATTTGGTGGCGTTGAATTTCTTGGCCAGGGCAAAGGCAAGAGTGACAAGGGCAAGGGCAGCAAGGGCAAGGGAAAGTCCAAGAGCAAGTCATGGGAGGACTCGGCCATCATCCACATCCATTGCACTTGGTGTATATCCTGCATTCTGCCCAGGACTCTTATTCCGCACCCAGGTCCAAGGGCTCCTCAGGCATAGCACGGCACAGCCAAGCATTCATTTTACTGCATTTTGCATGAAGAGATGTGCGAAGAGGGGCGATGAGTCAATCCGTTTCTGAAACGACCAGTATCACTGCTTTGATGATGCGGAGGCAAGGGCCGATCCTACGATGATTGGGGCTATGAGGAGAGATATGTCGATTGGGTTTGGGGGCGCCACCAAACTGCAGGATGGACGATCTCCACCATCGCGCGAGGGATTTGGAGAGACGGGCAATCTCAACATATCTCAACCATTCTCTGCAGGACAAGAGCTACGGCAAGTCCAAGGGCAAGGGCTGGGGTAAGAACTCCTACGATGGAAGTGACCTGGCCATTCGAGACAAGTCGGGTTGCTCTCCCATCCACTTCTTCGTTTCGACCATTGCAGAAGGGAGCTGCTATATAATGATATACATGGATTGCTGGCATCACTGGGAGCAGTAGCAGTAGCAACCGAATCATTAGCAACCAGTTCTGATGATATCTGATGATCCTTTGGTTCTCGGGGTCCGTTCGTGGAACCTGCCGTTACCGTCGAGCAGGGAGTGGCCTTGGGTCCTTCAGCCGAGGCAAAGGCAAAGGATCTGGCAAGTCCAGCGGGGGAAAAGGCCACACTGCAGTGGTTTCAATGGCCCAAGACAGAGAGTCTTTCTTCTGTTTTTTGCCAATGCCGAATGCACCACGACATGCTCGAAGAAAAGAGCGCTTTTCATTGTCATAGTCCCAGTAAGATTGCGGGTACAGTTGATAAGGATTTTCGCATGTTCCCCAAGAACATCAGCTCTTGCCATCCTCATTCACCCTTATTGCCCTTCATCATGCAGCACTTGGCGCACTTTGTGCTCCACCAGCATTTCTTGGGTGACATGGTTTTGTTAATTCAATTGTGGACAGATGTAGCCGATGTAGCCAGCCTTTTTCTTTGGAAGAAAGCCAACGCCAGGCAAGGGCAAGAATGTATTTTACTACTCTGGCCAGTACTGAGGAGGCGCACGGTTTTGCAGTTGCATAATGTTTCGTTTTTCTTGAAGGCTTCATGAATGTGAGAACGATTTGGCAGGCAAACGGATGTCCCCGCGCCCATTCATTGCTTTATCGTTCCGGCATCAAAAAGATGCATGTGCCACTTGCCATACAAGCTCAATTTGGCTGCACAGGTTAGGTAGGTCGGCATTTTCTTGTGTTTGGTTAGTTTGCTGACTGGGTATAAAGAAGGTAGGGACTTCGAGTGCATGTTTGTGTAGCTTCACGAAACCCAGGTTCGAAGACCGGCGAGAACTTTTTGTGAGAGCACAGATAGACACAGAGACCCTGGAGGACCTTGCAGAAAGAGCTGGTTTTCGTTTTCAGCAAAAAGGGTGCGAGCCAAATAACATCAGAACTGCGGTACTCACAGACTCGTGAAATTCATGGACATGCAGAGGAACCACTCTCCCCACGCAGGCGTTTGCCCTGTGGTCATTGTCGTAGAGCCCCAGGACGAGCCGTGAGAAATGGGATCAGACTGCGAACCTCAGATCTCGTTTCTGGTGTTTTTGTTGCTCATTATAGCAGATGTTCTGCTTTCTCTCATTGACTCATCGGTCGCTGCGCTCTTGGTCGGTCTCCGTCAGTCAGCTATGCCAAGTTTGAGCACGGGTTCTGTCAAACGGTAATGCCATCTCATGATATCTTGATACGGATGGACATTAAACAAATCAATGATGCCAGAACAGACCCCAAACAGTTCCAGCATTTTTTGTGCGTCAACTCCTTGAATTCCAGTGTCGGTGGTAACCTCTGTAATTGTATTCCTATAGGTTCCAGCTGCTTGGGAATAGCATTGATTGACAACAATAGTTCCTGATATGTGCAAAAGCGAAGGGATACGGATATATAATGAGACAATTGCTGCACCACTGTTGCATGCATAGCCACACGAAAACGTGCCCGGACAAGGCGGTGGATACAAGACTTGGACATGACAAGGCCAGGACAAGGTGGCGTGGCCAAGCAGACCCAGACAAAGCCTGAACAAGGGCTGGGCCAGCAGTGCAGCGGACAAGGCCTGGACAAGCCCGGACAAGGCCGAAAAGAAAGCCCGTGGCGCAGCCACAGCTATCCTGGCCAGAAATTTCTGAAAAAACACTGATTGGGGAACAAGAAGAGGACACAGGGTTCGCCAGCAGGACGCGAAGAGGACAAGAGGAGGACACAGCGGTAGCGGACAGCACCCACCAGGAGGACAAAAGAAGGACGCAGGGTTCGCCAGCACGGCCAGAGGACAGCAGGAGGACACCAGGGGGACAAGAGGAGGACACATGGTTCGCCAGCGCGCCCAGAGGACAGCAGGAGGACAGGAGGGCAAGTGGCGGACAAGAAAGGTTATTCCCAAGAGAGAACCCCAAGAGTAAACTGTTTGGGGAATCAATCAATCAATCAACCAACCAACCAATTAATCAATCAGTCAATCAATCAATTAACCAATAAGCAAGAAGTAGTTAAATAAGCAACAATGTACATTACATACCTACATACAAACGTGCGTACTTACTTACGTACGTACTTGCTTACATACTTACTTACTGACTTACTCACTTACTCACTTACTGACTTACTTACTTACTGACTGACTTACTGACTTGCTGACTGGCTGACTGACTGGCTGACTGACTGACTGACTTACTTACTTACATGCACTGCAGATCTTCATAACCCAGCTGTAGCTCTCAAAAAGTTCAATGAAGACTAAGACCGTGTACATGACACGAAATTTTTGTAGTATAGTATAATAACAGTATTTTGAACTGATTTTCTCCTATTTTGATTATCATGGATGTCGCCCATCCAACGCTTTAAACATCCGCTTCAAGCGCGCGTGGTCGACAACTGTGCAGAAACGAAAGGAATGAATTCCTTGTTCGGTCCGTTCGCGATCAAGACAAGCACTGCTTGTACATTTGGCTGGGCCCCAGGAGGAGTCCACTTACAGGCCTGGAGTACCTGTCATCGGGTCCACAAAGACGTTTCAAAGACTCTACTGTAGTGACTCTAGTGACTCTAGTGAAAATGAATGGAAACATCGTGGAGACATTCAATATCCACGCTGTCAGTAGGGAATAGACGGAATACATGTCATTGAAGTCATTGGATGGGGTGACTCACGTTCAGACATGTCCATTTTTTGCTCTGTGTTTTTGTTCAGATCAAAAAGGACAGGGTCTGGCTGGCATTCTTCAGATTTTTCAAGGCTGGCTCGCTTTCAGTCTGACTAGTGGGAAAACTGATTTACTGGTAGATTCAGACAAGTCAAGAACGGTTCTCTACTAATGTCCAGGTTGCACTGGCCTGACGCAATTTTGCTGGTGCTGTCAAGGCAGGGTGGGAGGTTCAGTCCCGCAAGAACCACGAGAACAGAGCCATGGTGCCAGGAACATCAAAGTCAAACAAACATGATTAAATTGAAAGATGATGTGGACATATGTGGAATGTGTAAATGGAGGGTGAACAGGCTGAACAACAGGGCAACAGGATGGTCGGGATAGAGCTGTTCCAAGCTCGGACGATCCAGAAAACAACGGGGTTTCTCGCCATCGAGTCATCCGAAAGCCCGTGCGAAAGCCCAGCGTTTCGCCCAGCAACGACCCACGACAGCCCAACGAGGCCAGCGGAGACGGCGATTGGCTATGCTCGCTGGGTGGTCCAGAAGATTTGCACCAGCTCGCGCTGTGCAGGTGGGAGGAGGTTCCGTTAGAAGGACTTTCAGAGCACACATGCACGTGGCCTGGGGCAACATCATACAAAATCAAAAGACTGTGGGAGGAATGTGAAGCACACACCCACACAATGTTGGGCCTTGCTTTGCTATGCCAGAGCAGTTTTCTCATACTGGTAAACATAGACTCCAAGAGTGACCTGGAAGACAACGAAGGGCTTCCCTCGCCAGGTCGCCACCTGCAGCTGCCCTTCATTTGGATGGCTGACGCGCTCTTAGCACCTTGCGACTCGAGTGGACCCATTTTTGTCACAGACCGACGGACCGAACTCGAGCACCGTGGCTCTTCCGCAGCTCCGCGCAGCAACGAGCTGCAATGGTAGAGAGACAAGCCGCAAATCGCCAAGGATGACTTGCTCTTGAGCTTCTACAGAGACTTGGCTGAACTCCAGCGAGGGGTCTCGAAGGTTCTCCCCAAATTTCCTTGGTAGCCGGTGCGGTTTTGGATCCAATGCCATCCTGTTGACGTGAGTTGTGTACTTGTACCACTGCTTAATATTCAACCTCAGAGGTCGAACCATGTGTGTCCCAGTGCAGCACGCGTGAGGGCTTCGGGAACTTGACTATTCTTTAAATACAGTTCGTGTGGGCTTCAAGTCACCGGTGTACCACAGCGTACTTCTTTTCGTGTCGGTTCACTTCTTGGTCCAAGGAATTGAGCGGTTGCAGTACGGCGGCAAGAGGAGAGCTCATCGCCGCCCTGTCTTTTGTAGTCTCTCAGCATTGTCAGGAGAAGAGAACATATATACACACAGGAAGAAGGCGTGCACATGTGTGCCCTCACATGCACCATGTGGGTGTGACTCCAAATGCACAAGATTTGCAGCTCTTCTTTTTTTTGACCAACAGGTTTGGTAGTGTACCCCGCGGTGTACCCTAACTCATTTTTCAGCTGTCCCTTCGAACAGCTCCATTCACCTTGCTCACAGCACATTTGGTGGCTTCACAGGATTGTTGACGGCTCAACAAGCTTTGAAGCTCAAACCTACTGTTGAAGGAAGACATCCAGCATTACCTGAGATTTAGAACACGTATTGTAACTGGTGAGATTATACTCACCTAAGGCAAAGCTGCGGGTTTCACCTGCGTAGGAGGCGAATCTTGCGCGCACTGCCCCAGAGAGGCTTTTGGGAGGCTGGGAACTGGCATCGTGGGACAAACTTGGCTTGATTTAACGGCAGGCGGAAGCCGAAGAGGCTGTTTGCATGACTATCACCACACTGGACTACCGCAACTAGATCCAACATGGCTCATTTCAAGCGCATCCATATGACCGTTTGGACCTTGGATTCTCCCATCCATGCCGAACCATACTATTGTTGCTGGGATCCCGGAAAAAGATGACCCTTTTGCACCGTTTGTATGGTCAAACGAGCATCTGGAACACATCGTTCAGGCCTTCGTGGCAGTGCAGCAGCGGCAGGAGCTCTCGAAATCAGCTTCAATGGTGGTTTCCGTGGGGAAAATGGACTGCTCAAATCCTTTGAACATGTTGGGCCAGACACACCTTCCATTCCCCAGACACCCCAACAATGCTGGTGTCTGAAGAATAAGCACCGAAAACAGCCGGAGCCTGTCACTCAGTTCCACGCAGGATCCCTCCCTTCCCCTGGACAAACACGTAGAAGTTGTTTCACACTCAATGAGACTGCAAAGCAGAAGTTTCAGGTAATTTCTTTGTCCACGGGTGAAGAGAGTCACGGTAACCAATGATGTCTTTTTCTGATGCTCCGATCGGAAGCTAGCTGTAGCACGAACCCGCCGCCTTGCAGGACATTTGTGAGATGGCCGTGGCTGGCTTCTTGAGGGATCGTGGTGCGTCAAGCTTGGTGAAGAGAGATTGGGTCATTGATGATTCACTTGCTTTGCAGAAGGCCCGCAAGCACTTGCGGACTGAAAACGATACATCCGGAGCGGAGATGACCTTTGTTTCGATTCGAGTTTCAGCAGCTTTTCAACAGGCTGATGATTTGCCAGGTGGTTTTGTTGAATCTGGTCCAGCTGCAGTCTCTCCAAGTGGAGTATTGCCCGTGGCTTCGCAAGTCGGAAGACCTGGCGATTGCTTACCAAGTGGCCAAAGAACCTGGAGGTGAGACCCGGTCAGACCGCACCAACTGCGATCCAATTGCTAAAATGTGGTGTGGTTCAGTTGTATCCTTCTGGTCAAGTATGGCCATCGCAGCCTCGGCCAATCCCAGAACATGCGTGCTGTATCCGGACCTTTCGCTCAGCCTTTAAAGCTGAGAATAGCAACATCTGAGTCTTCCTTTGGATGAACTACAGTATTAGCCAGTGGATTAGACCATGGATTAGACCAGACCATCCATCGAGTGGGATTTGAAGTGTCACTTGGCACCTGGTTGAGGCCACCTCTTGAAGTGTCACCGCTACACCTACCGTGCCCGGCACTTGGCGCGCAGCGGCGCGGAGGAGGTGCGCCGCTTGTGCGCCGAGCCTCGGGGCCCGGAGCTGCCGCGGCTGCTGTTGGGGGGTGCGGAGCAGCGGCGGAGGCTGCCAGTGCGGCAGAAGCCCGCATGGGAAGGGGAGGGGAGGAGGATGGAGGTGGGTATTTGTGGGGATCGGAAGAAAGAGACCACTCAAGTGATATTGGCAAAGCTCAAATCACTAGGAGTCTCATCTCATTACATGCCACTCGGAAGTTTCTGGCATCACAAAACTCTTCATTCACCACGGCAGCCTTGCTTCGCTCGCAAACTTAAGGAAATCTGCTGTTGACGCCCTGGTGGAGTGGCTGCGCCGCTATCGCACAGCGGAGCCGGTGACAGGGGCTGTGGATGCCCATGGCGACTGGGATGATGGTGCGGATGCGGCATCTTTCCAGCTCTTGCGTGAAGAAGGCAGCAGGAAGCAAGGCTTCATGGAATCTTGACAAGGCATTGGACAGTTTTCGCTTGCGAGGTGCACCTGCCTAAAAGTGACAAGCATGAGCAAAAGAATCTAAAGACACATGAATCATGAAGAATGTGATGCCAAGAGGATGCGCTTGAGCTAGAAACTCTTGGATTCATCGCCCAGGAATGGTTGGCGAAGCTGCCCAAGGCCCTAAACGACAGCTGAACAGCATGCGCACTTCGTCGCAACGTTTTCAGAGGCAGCCTTGATGGCTGGTGGTTGCAGGGATTCAGACGAGGCAGTCTGAAGATCGGTCAGTTGGCCAAAATCTACTCATCACAACAATCACCTTTTCATGGCTGGAGACCTCAGCCATCCCCAGCTGCTCTTCGGAACTTCAGATTCAGCAAGCTCTTTTCTGTTGGACATCACCACTGAGGCCGTCGTGGGGTTCACGCTTCGTTGCGAAGTCCACCATGTGACAACCACTCTCTGTTGGGAAGCAATTGATCCCTTTGAGCATGTTCCTGGCTCGAGCCTTTTCTCACTGATGCTTTCAACGCTTTCTCGGGAGAAAGAGGACGATGTGACCCGTTGTTGCAAGCGGTGCTGGGAAAGCCAAGTGAAGGGCATGGTGAGGATGAACTGAGGATGAAAAGCATTCAAAAGCCATCTGCGTAGCACTGTGGGATGCTCCACAGACCTAGACCTGTGCAACACGCCTGGGCCTGGACCAAGGGCACTTCTGTGGAGAGCAACAAAATGGTCAACGTGGAGGGGAGGCTGAAGTATCACAACGTGGGCGACCGTAGATGGAAGACATCCACAAAGATCACTGTTAGAGATAGGAGGCCCAAAATGGTTTTGACACGGTTAAACACCAATGCTGTTCCGATGCTGTTCCGGTGCTTTCATGTGACATCACATAGTGAAGACTAGGTTGCCTTGTTTCAGTAATGTGTTACATAAGTGACCACCTATGGCCAGAGCTCTACAAGGTGGACACGTTTGCAAATAGTTTAACGTAAATGATCGATTAAACAAGTGCACCTCAACTTGACTGGATATGATTTAACAATGAAATGACAGTATACGGTCTACCTCGTTTGTGGTTTTTGTGCACAGCATACGACCTGGGTGAACCGGAAGAGCAACTCAACTTCAGCAGTTGGAGGGAGTTGTCAGACTATTTGACCACTTGTTTTGATGTTGCTTTGTGCTTCTGTCCCGTAGTTTGATGAAATTATTTGGCTCGCTCAATCACGCAACCATCTCAGCCTTTCAACTGTTTCTGCCACTTGAATCTACAACAGCCAACGCATGTGCTTGGAAAGACTGTCGTTGCCACTGTTCTTGGCCCAAACCGTGGTGTTAGGGGACAAGAGCCAAGAATTTCGGGTGGTGACAGACGACGACGCTAGTGCTGAACACTGATCTTTCGCCACTTGGCAGTTGGAGGAAAAGCTCCAGCTCAGTTTCGAAAGACCTGCGGACATGATCCATCCTATTTCCAAATGCTTGGATTGTCGGGGGTTTTGATAGGGATTTTGATATATTCTTTGTTATTCTCCCATGCTTTACATGTCCTCGATAGATCTCACTAGCTGGCTGAGAGGTTCGACGGCCCAAAGGGACCAAGACTTTCACCTACAGTAAGCAATTTTCATGTCCTCTCAAGCCTGCTTTCATCATATCCTGCTCTTCTGGGACCTTCCAAACATGTAGAAGTGACACGTGACCTGTCCAAGGGCGTGCACCATTTTCATGTTCCCCTCCGAGTGACTGGAAAAGCAGCGTCAATGAATGGTGATCATTTGACGGACATGAGGATTGCAGATTTGAGGCACCTGGGTAGATTGAAACCGCTGTTCAGAAGTGCACAAACAAGGCACTTGGTCTTGTTTTGATATCATTGATCCACCTCTCAGCGTGTTTGCGCGCTGAGATCGCATTACCATGGACAAGTACCGCAAGGTGATGAAGCCGAAGGTGCGTTTTGTTGATCCGAACTTTCTTCGATATACGAACAGCTAACAACGAACGACATGGCATGTTGAGATAGGAGATCAATGCTGTGCCTGGTGCTTTGTGTCCAGCGTATACAAACGCTTTCAGGAGGACATCCAGAAGACTGATGAGGAGATCCGTGTCACAGCTGCTGGCAGCGTGTCCGTGGGGATCTTGGTCTCAAAAGAGAGGGAAGGAGGGTGGATCTGCGCAAGTTAAGGTGACATTGAGCCTGAACCTGAATGCATGAGTCGCACTGGCAAGTTATGTAGTTTTGTCAACAATCGATTCAAATAGCCAAGACATGATGCCCCAGCATGTGAACAAAGGTCTGAAGTTTCGTTTTGCTGCAAACTGCGAATTTGCGGTCTGGCTTTGAGGCGTACGTTTCCCGTGCGGCCACCGTGTTCAACGAGCTCAAGAAGCCCTATGTCATGATCCTAAGACCCTCCTTTGTTTGGCTGTTTTAGTTTGAATGGTAGATGTCATTTGTTGGACATGTCGCTTTGAAAATGAACCTTGCACAGCAAACGAAGGGTGTTTACACTTTGGATGCATGTCTCCAGGTTACGCAGCTGGCTCAAGCAGAAAAGCACGATTGTGAGCTACTTTTGTCCATCGGTGCGAAGATGGCCCAAATGCCGGTGTCCATCATCGTGGCGGCGACTCCTAAGGGTGGCATCGGCAAGGATGGCGCTTTGCCTTGGAACCTCCCAGAGGACATGAAGCATTTCAAGCGTGTCACCACGGCTGTGGACGATGGCAAACAGAATGCTGTCATCATGGGCCGCAAGACTTGGGAGTCGATCCCCGAGCGTTTTCGACCTTTAGCTGGACGTTTGAATGTCGTTTTGACATCGAGTGATGCGCAATATCCTGAAGGAGTGCTGGTGGCCTCATCTCTAGAGCATGCCATCTCTTCCCTTCAGAGTCGAAGCGATGTGGCTGAGATCTTCGTGATTGGCGGGCAAGCTGCCTACAAGGAGGCCATGCAGATGCCATCATGCGTGCGAATCTACATGACTCGAGTGGCAAAGGAATTTGAGTGTGACGCCTTCTTCCCCACGATGGATGACAGCTTCCAGCCGGTTCATGTTGGTGTCACCAACAGCCATGGGGACATCACGTTTGATTTCACGATCTTTGAGAAAGTGCCTCCGAAGGAGAATCTCACCAAGGGAGGCTATGTCGGTGCCGCCACTCTGGTGCAGCAACCATCAGCTGCTTTGGCTGCTGCTGGTGGGGCAGGGCAGTTCTTGCACCAGGAGTATCAGTACTTGAAGGCAATCAAACACATCATCGAGGAGGGTGTCCATATGGAAGATCGGACGGGAGTTGGCACTCGATCCATCTTTGGACATCAGATGCGCTTTGACTTGCGCAAGTCCTTCCCATTGCTGACCACCAAGCGGGTGTTCTGGCGTGGTGTTTTGGAAGAATTGCTGTGGTTCATCAAGGGTGACACCAATGCCAACCACCTGACTGAGAAGGGGGTGAAGATTTGGGAAGCCAATGGCTCCCGTGAATTCTTGGACAAGCGTGGGCTGAGCCACCGAGAGGAGGGAGATTTGGGCCCGGTCTATGGATTCCAGTGGCGTCACTTCGGTGCCAAGTATGTTGACATGCACGCAGACTACCAGGGGCAGGGAGTCGACCAGCTGGCCGAGTGCATTCGGAAGATCAAGGAGGATCCCACGGATCGCCGGATCCTGCTCTCGGCGTGGAATCCGGCAGATCTGCATTTGATGGCACTGCCACCATGCCACATGTTCTGCCAGTTCTACGTCGCCAATGGCGAGCTGTCATGCCTGATGCACCAGCGATCCTGCGACATGGGTTTGGGTGTGCCCTTCAACATTGCCTCCTACTCCCTTTTGACCTGCATGATGGCCCAGGTTTGTGGTCTGAAACCTGGAGAGTTTGTGCACAACTTGGGGAACACCCACGTGTATCAGAACCATGTGGAGCCTCTCAAGACGCAGCTGCAAAGGACCCCAAGACCTTTTCCAGTCTTGAAGATCAACCCGGAGGTGAAGGATATCGATTCCTTCCAAGCATCCGATTTCGAGTTGGTCGGCTACAGCCCACTGGGCAAGATTGCCATGGAGATGGCAGTGTGAGCCGATGGCAGTAGCTCTTGGGCAGCTCAAGCATAGCTGTCGACGCTTGGCACTTGAGCTTTGGGTGGGCACTGCCTCAGTGGGGCTGATGGTGAGTGCCGTCTTGTTTCCGACCCTCCCTTAGCAAGTGACAGGGGGGAGTAGGTTCGTCCGTCTGAGAAGGACGCGGAGTATGATAAAAGCGACCAGCTTGCAATCCATCCATCCTCTGGGTTGTCCTTGCATAAGTCTTAACCTTTGCTTATATCAAGAATCACATTGAGCCCTCCAAAAAGTTCTTTCAGCTGGCAGACCAAAGCGTCACAGCCCAACCATCTACTTTCAGCTTTGTTTTGCTTCATGTTTTTGAGGTGATCGTGCAAGCCACTGGCAATGCCTTGACCAAAGCAGTGACTGCCGCAGAGGCGAGGGAAAGCTTGAGCCGGGCAACGGTTCTTCGCCTGACAGGAAAGGTTGTGGCTCTGGAGGAATGGGGCTATCTTTCATGGCGTGTCAATGGATTCAACCTGCTTGTATGCAGATTGGGGCTTAAAATGTGGGTTTTGGCAGCAAGATACCTTCGTATGTATATAGGTCAAGGACGATGTTTCCGTCGTCTTGTTTTTGCATGTTTGTTGTTTTATTTTCAAGGTTGCGGGTGTTCAACCTTGAATCTCTCTTTTCCGGAAACCTCAGTCCAGATGCTTTGGGCTTCTTTTTTCTCTGCGAACAATGCGACGTGGGCGATGCGACGTTTTAACACGTTGGCAGGTCATCAAAAGGCGTTTCAAGGGCCTGCACCAAATCACAGAGCTGAAGACAGCCCTGGGACTTAGGGGCCGGCCTCTTTTAGTCACGGAAGCCGATGGATCACATCCGTGGACAGGACAGGACTCCACAGTGGCCGCCCATGGCAGAAGACAGATGTTCTCCAGTACTTTGATTTTGTATTAGATTCGGTGGATTCTGCATCAGGTTGAAATTGTTGACGAGTACGAGCCACTGGAGGAAGGATTGGACAAGGCCGTGGCATTCAGAACTTGGACACCTCATTCAAGACCATATATATATATAAGCATTCGACTCTCTCATGCGAAAGTCTTTGTCTTTTTCTCATTTTGTTGTGCTGCAACTCAGACTTTGCAAGGTTTTTGCACGGACAGGGGTCGTGACAGGCGTTTTGACAGGGGAAAGATTCAAAGACAATTGTGGCAAGGGCCTCTACATTTTGGTTTCGCAGTGTTGCATGCAGAAGATTGCACCTCCAATTGGAAGGTTCAAGCTTTCCTTGCCAATTGAACGGCCAACCGAAGACGAAGGTCGGCACGAAGGAAGCAACGCAACCCAGCCCCGTAGACCGCACTCCACGAGGTCACCGACGTCCGCAACGTCTCGGTGGTGGAGATCAAGCTTTCCAAGGACCGACACCGAAGACCTGTAGACCCGAACCTTAGAGTCTACTCACCACCCTGTAGGATAGGACAGGTTTCGGGGGAAGGAGCAGCTTCATTCATGTAGTAAGAGTGCCTAATGGAAGTTATATATACTACATATTCTGACATGCTCGGATCTTACTGTTCTCACTTATAGAACCTGAGCATACCCGAGCCAGTGGCAGTGGCGCGTGCAGGAGCCTTTAGACACCAGCGACAAGGGCTACCAACCGCCCTTGGACGAGTCCCTGGTGAAGGAATTCGACGCAGAGGACCTGGAAAACCAGAGCCGAGAAAAGCCTTTTGGTTTGGCATGGCTTTGCATGCTACATTGTACACCCCTCTGGATGCTGCCGGCAAGCCCTCAAAGTTTCCCAAGCGCAAAGGAAACGTGTTGGAGGCCATCGCTCCTAGGTTGGAGGCCATCGCTGGTAGGTTGTTCTCCGTGATTCCGCCGTGAGAAGCTCCACTGAAGGCATCACATAGCCTGAAATCGTGCAGGACATGGTGCGTGGCAGAGGACGGGGTCGTGGCCTTTCGAAAGGCGCCGTGTGGAGGGTCTGAGAGGACCTCATTGGTGCAGAGGGCCAGGGAATAGATTGGATTGTCTCAGCGAAGGAAGGAGCTGGTCGTCCCATCCCCACAAAGGAACAGAGCAGAGTTTCTGAGATGTTCATCTAATTACCTTGGTCTGGCGCAGCGGATCCAGCGCTTCTTGCGCGTCCCTTGCCCCCCGGGCGGGTGCGGTAAGAGTCACTCTGGGTATTTTGATGTAGGTTGGACATGGTCAGGTCGTGGCAAGGGCGGTGGCCGAGGGCCTGGGCCTCAGCGCTAGCAAATTGTAGAAACATGTTTGAAAGATCCCCTGCTTTTGAAGGAGTTATACAGTTATACCCCTTTTCTTCTTTTCAAGAGGATAGGTGGTGGTGTGGCAGTTTCAGCAGTTTCACTCTTTTCAGCTCTTTCGTCCGAGAGTCATGTTGTGCTGCTTCATTGTGAGGAAAGGCAAAGGCAAGGGCCGTGGTGAGGCAGATGGACGGACATTGAGTGCAAGAAACATGGAAGACGCAGCATGATAGATAATTCATTTGAGCCATCAAGTTAGGACCGTTAGGACTTCATGGACATTTTGATTAGCGGTGACAAAGCCGTTTGTTGTCCTTGACTTCCCTCTCCAACAGGACCTTTCTGGACCTTTTGTATATCAGCCCATCCCCAACTGGCTCCGCTTTGCTATGGCTTCAGGGTAAAGGGAAAGGCAAAGGCTCCAGCAAAGGTGCCAGCAAAGGCAAAGGCCTGGCATGACCTCGCAAAAATACACCCAACCGAAGAGCTGCGATTCTTTTGTGACCACGCCTTCAACCCCCAAACAGGACTGAGCCTCGGGGTTTTCAGGCATCGTTTTTATGGTTGTTCTTGAGCCACGGGCCTTTGGGGCTGTTGCAAAGGTCTCCCAATTTCATGTTTTCAGTGCTTCTACTTGGTTCATTTCAACGGTCAGTTCACAATTGAGGAACCATAGCCACTGAGATTCATGTTCTAATCTAAGAGGTTTTGGGGTGCTAGTTCTGGTTGCATGAACCTTCTAGCAGAAGGCGCATGTTTTGGATGTTTCTTGCTGTATGGGGTGGGACTTGCTTGTGTCTGTGGCAGGGAAAGGCAAGAGCAAAGGGAAAGGCTCCTCCAAGGCCATCGCGGTAGAAGCATTTGGACGATGATTTTGTTCATTTTGTCCATCATGACTTTGATCCATGGCAGGGCAAGTATGAGGAGGACTACGGAACCTCAAAGAGCAAAGGCAAGGGGAAGGGCAAGAGCAAGGGGAAGAGCGCAAGCCGGTGACTTGGCAGAAAAAAAAAGTTCCAAGAAGACCGATTTTCACCCCGTCTCGGCGCTCGAACGGTGCTTCGGTTGTCTCATCGGTTTGACTGTTCATGTTGCCCTCAGAGACGCTCAGGTATGACGACTACGATGAACCCAAGGCCTCACTGTCCGGACCTTCTGCCCTTCCAAGCGTCGACCTTCGCCCGACCTTCGTCAGGGCAAAGGCAAAAGCAGCAAGGGCAGCAAGGGCAGCAAGGGCAAAGGCAAATCCAAGAGTAGCTCATGGGAGGACTGCCTTTGTAGGGTTGTTAGCTGAGCTCCATCTCTTGACATGAGTTCTTAAAGAATCACTGAAGGTAAGCTCAGGGATCATCCACCATGCTCGATGATCTTCAATGATCTTCAAAGACGGAGTTCCTTTCCCCATACCAACCTTGCACATGCAAGACGTACCTGGCCGTAACTGCCGTAAACAGTGGGACGGAAGAACAATTTGATCAACAGTTAAGAAAGCTTCCCGAAACAAGCGGACTGTACAGGCTGCAGGATCTCCATGTTTCTTTTATATGGCTCTGCGCAGTTTTTGACCCTTCCGGAGCCTTTCCCTTATTCCATTCCTTACCTTGCTGTTGACAATTTGAGGCCCTGACTTTCTCTCGTTCTTGTGAGGACTCTTACTCTGCACCCAAGTCCAAGGGCTCCTCAGTTAGCACCAGACAAGTGAGTGGCGTATGTTCTTTTTTCTCGAGACGAGGCATGTTCATGGGATTTCATCGGTCATGAGTCATGAGTATATAAAAGGAGTTGTCTTTAAGTGATTGCCAGGATGTCACACAGTTTCTCTGCTTTCTCGAGGCAAAGGCCGCTCCTATGATGATTGGGGGTATGAGGACAAGAGCTACGGCAGGTCAAAGGGCGGAGGAAAGAGCTCCTATGACAGATCCTATGGCGACTCTTGGAGCACCTTGGCCCAGAAAGTGATGCACTTGAAACCAGCCAAGGGAATCAAACCCCTGGAACTCACGGTTTTGTGGGAAACCACCCCCGGTCCGTTGGGTCTTCGGATTTCGGGGTCCTCGTCGAGTCGAGTCATCGGGGCCATGCGGTCACGTCCAGGGAGTCTAGGTCTGACCGGTTCGGTGGCACAGGCAAGGGCGGATCTGGCAAGAGCAAGGGAAAAGGCCTGAGCCTCGGAGTTGGGCGAAGAAGAGACACCGACATGTGGCATCACCAGGAAATAACCACGGCAGGATCAAACAACCAAAGCTGCAATGGCATAGAGCCGGTACACCGGCACTCGGATCTATCATCTCATCTTGGGCTAATATTGGCATGTTCGGTGTTGTAGTATCGAAGTGAATACAGCCAACAGCTGCGATCTATTGATTAGAGTGGATCGGGAGAGTTTTGCTTGAGCCACACCCAGCTGTCCTCGGCCCTATGCCCTTTCCCTGCAATCCGCAGGCAAGAGTGGCAAGGACTCTGGTCGGACATGGGGCGACTTCGCTGGAACTCTGTAGGGAGCAGCCGCACCGGGGGGATGCCATGCCACTGAGCCATGCCAGTAAGGGATGAACCTCCGTCAAACCAAGCAATTTGGCTATTTGGCTATGGGCCAATGGGTCAAAACCAAGAGAGGCCTTGGTTGACCACAGAAAAACCCACCGACAACGACGAGTCGTGCAGTCCTGGAGAACCCATTTTTCGGGTGGGAACGGGCCATTTCGGTATACCGACCCAGCGAACTCGGACGACAAATGCGGTCGCGTGGCCTTAGTTTCAGAACCCCTGTTTCAGAATCCGACCGATTAGTTTCCAAATGCGACTCTACCGGACTTGAAGGCAGATGGGGTTCTCCGCGTTTTACACTGAGTTGTAGTGCAGCACTGTTCGACTTCCGCCACCACGTGTTATAGGCTGGGGAGCTAGTCAAAATTCCCACAGAAGAGTGCATTGATCTGAGATTCCAATCTTTGCGCAGCGAGGTTACAGTTATTGAACTCGGCTTTGCCTGTGGATGCGCCCACAAAAGAGCCACAAATGCGGCTTGGCAATGGTGTCAGCTGAGAGTTGCAGTCATGTGACGGGCAGTTCGGCGGTCACCTAGCTTTTCAGTCGCACTTGGACTGCGAAGTCGGAACGTGCTCGCCGAGGTTCGCCATTGTATTTTATCGCCGTGCCTTCGTTGGTGGAGGCAAAAGGCATATTCTTTTGGTGTGAGGACTCCATTCAAGACAATGGCCCATGCCCTGCGAGAAAAGGTGGGCACCACTCTGCAAAGTTCTGGTTGGTGTTTTGGCGTGGGTGTGGGCGTGGTCTACGGCTACAGTTGGTTTGAGTTTATAGAGGGGATATCCTCAAGTGGACCTAGGTACAGTATATGGTACCAACTTCGACCCCTCCATTGTTCCCACAAGACCATCCCAGACAGCTGTTGATCAACTTGTTGCCCAGTCCATGAGTGCCCAGTCAACCTTTAAATGGTGACACGGTCATTTTGTCTTCGACGGCATATCAGCCAACTCTGCATACGAAGTGTTCGAAGGCTGATTTCACACCTCGCTATGAGGACTTGCCTCCTTCCCTGTGAAGATGGTGAGGTGTTTCAACACTGCCTTTAGTCTAGTTTTGTTGCGTTTTACCCATTATATTAGGTTGGAGGCCATCGCTAGTAGGGTGGAGGCCATCGCGGTGGCTGCGGCTCCGACCGATTGATGATGATTGGTGCCTGTGAATGATGGGCTCAGCTGAAACAGATTCGGACGGAAGGTTCACAGACCGCGAGTATAGCCTCTACGCCTTGGGAAACATAACACTGACATCTCAGCTGGACAAGACACGATCTGTGCTACCAAAGCATCGCTTTAAACTACACTGATGAACCTCTCAAGACAGATGTACGGCTGTACGAACAGCATGCTGAAACAGATCCAGCAGCCCAGACGTATGAGTCTTCCGATTCTCCGGTGCAACTCTCGCCTTCTCTCGCGTCGCGGCGTGATGTCGCGGTATCGCAGCGTGGAGTTGAAGACCAACTTCCTGGCGGCTCGAAGTGGACCGTTTTCTGCCGGGAAGACATGGTCTGGTATGGAACCAAAGCCAGTAAGAGGAATGGATGAACACCTGGTGGATGAGTGGGTTGATCATGTTTGGGGCCACTTTTGCTGTATGAATCAGAGAGGAAGAACCCATGCCACAACCAGTTGCATGGTTCAAATCGTGGTGAATCCTCAAGCCTCCACTCTGAGGGGACGCAAGCAGGGCTTAGCTCAAGCAGCCAGAGCACTTACCAAAGCTGGGTGACTCAGGCTTCGGAAGCGGATTATGATGCCATGCAAGCTATCAGAGGCAATGTTGATTTCTCTTATTTCGGTCCAGGATAATTTTAAATATATCATGATATTTTGAAAAACTATGTTATTCAATATGTTGTATGGAAACTAATATACAAACATACATATATATATATATGTATAAAACTGAAAAATCACTCCATGACACTTGGTCCGTTGCTTTCCCTTTCAATCTTAGGTCACTACGCCCAGCCGCGGGTCGCCCCGCCGAAGCGCGGCGCCGCGACCTTCCAGAGGAGCTTCTCGCGCTCGGCGCTCGAGGTGGTGTCACCCAGCTGCCCGGAAGACCCAGCGGAGAGGGTTCGGTCGGGTGCAGCAAGAATTTAGCAAGTTTCAGTCGGCAAGACAAGTGTTTTTGCAGCTTGTAGAAGAATTTCTCGGATGGGTAACAAGGCACAAGGCTTGGAGGTGAAGCTGGGAGCAGTGCGCAGAGGTCTTTCCCTGGAACAAAAGACAGTGTCACCGTGCACGAAGCTCAGAGTTGCGAAGGGTGGGCGAGTCAGCAGAAGTCCGAACAAGCAAGTCCGAACACTCTTAGTACATGGCCGGTCTTTGGAACCAAGCGTAGCAGCTGGGTCCCAGACACTTTCATTTATTTTTTTGAGTCACATGAACATTCGACAGGTTAGACAGGTACGTTTGTTGACCTGACCGGCATGAACTTGGTGAAGAGTCAAGATTGACATCGGTGCATCTGACACATCTCTAGGGTTCTGAGCAGAAGAATGATGACTCCAAAGCAGAAGTCTTTGGATACTGTTACCCTATAATCTCACATGTGTGCTGTAATTATAGCATTTGTCAGTTCTGCCTGCCAACATCCCAATATAATCTCTAATTTTGATATCTCGTCAGAAGATATAAGAAGCGCTTTCAGAAGGTTTCAACCCAAAAGTAGATGTACATCTTGGACCTGTTCAACCTTCAACTCCCTTGCTGAGTTGACAAGCCTCTTCCATACCGGTATGGCTGGACGAACCAGGAGGGCTCAGTGCAGAGAGGTGTTGAGGGTGAGCTGGGGTGTCTTAGACTTGACTCACAAGACAAGGATATGTCTCTCTACAGTATATACATGATACATGTGAACCTCAATGTAGTGGTCGTTTTTTTTCTGTGTGCAGTGAGTGGTCCACAACCAGGCCGTGCTCGGCATGACAAAAACGTCAGATTGAACGAAGGTATGACGTCTTTTTTCTGCGACCCAGCAGGGAAAACGAGCTCCGTCGGTAAGTCACGTTGGGGTGTGATGGAGGGTTTACGAGCTCCGTCGCAGGAAGTGAAACTACTGCCATCATCTCATCTATGTGGAACTCCTGAAGAGCTGGTGGCAGCAGGCGTGCAACGGTTGTGCGATCTGAGATGTCAAGTTCTAAGTTGAATGCTGGAACCTTTTCGATCCTTTTCATGAACCAGGGGTAATCTGGAGTACATCATCTGATAGGCAGGTGGTGTGTACATGGGATCTGTTTGGTCAGCCAGGTCACATTTCCGTCCAGGAGTACCGCTCTCGAATTCTCGCTGAGATGGCGAAAAGCTAAGGCCGAGTGACCTCCAAGTTGGATCCAAGGGCCTCCCAATGGGTTGGTGGTTTGGCAAGCAGAACTGGGTGGGAAAGGCGCCAGACATTTAGGCCGAAAACCGGGGCGCCGCAGAAGAACTGCGGCACAAAACCGACTCCGCTGCGGAAAAAGGGCCCAACTACATTTTAGCTAATGATTACATCAATATTGAGGGTCTTTCAACAGGACAAGCAGTCTGGAAAGTCCAATGTGCCTGTGCGCTGGCTCAAAGCCACCATCTGAAGACGTCTTTGCATGAAAGGGCATGGGTCGGGAATTGAAATACCAAGTGACTGTCTCACATTTTAACGCTCTCGACTCTCGACATCCAAATTTACAAGATAGTTCTTGGACATTAACCCACTTACTCCTGTTTCCATCAAGTGTACATGTTTGTTTTTTGTCCTGGGCTTTGTCTAGAGTGTAAGCGGAAGGCGCTCAAGCGGAACATTTGCATGATCTCTTCAGATCTATGATCCTTCCAGATTCCATACCGACAAAGAACATCGAACCATGAAGATCCAGAAAAAAACGTCGGCACTGTCGGCACATCCCATTCCTCGGCCCCCGTGGGATGTTCAGCCCCGTGGATGCTCGGGTCGCTGTGGAGAAGGTGGGCTCCCCTACGTTCCCTGAAACCTCGCCGGTCTGCCACCTGAGCCGCTGGGTCTGAGCGGAGTGAGTTTGGTTTCCTGCAACTAGTAGCTTCTTGTTCCTAGTAGTAAGGCCAGGAGCCCCTAGTAGTGTCCTTGCTCCTAGTAGCAAGGCCAGGAGCCCCTAGTAGCGTCCTTGCTCCTAGTAGCGATGCCAGGAGCCCCTAGTGGCGTCCTTGCTCCTAGTAGCGATGCCCTTTGTTACTAGTAGCTTCTTGTTACTAGAAGCAATGGGTATCACGGAGATCGAGATATCATATGGATGTGATGTGTATTTAAATACAATAACATCTAAGACCTGCAACCATTGGGTGTTGTTTCCTTTTTGCAGGGGGTCTTTGAGGGGTATAGTATCAATGCACACACACAGAGGCACACCCTAGTGACTGGTGACTTTGAAAGAAAAGAACTACAAAAGACAGATCACATGTATCAGAATCACTTCAATCTATTTGTGGACATGTGGAATGGAAGAACACTTTGCCCACAGAATTATCTCATAATATCGCATATATGTTTCATGATTTTTTCCATATCAGTGGTTTGTAGAATTTTCTAAGATAGAGTATATAGCTCAACTTGAGCTGAGCCTTTTACTGAACACCAGCCTTTTCCTGACTCGCAGAACACATCCCGCTTCAGGTCATGAGGTGGATCACCTAAGCTTGAGGACCGATCCCACACGCTTGCGCACCCACTCGGAGAATACCGATGAGACACCCGTGCGCGAAGAAGGGGAATTGAGCGAGCTGAGCCATGTCCAGGAGGTCCTGGGACCTCCCTTGGAGTTCTTACCCAAGGATATCGAAATTCAAGAGCTGAACGCTTATCGCCTGGATTACCAGAACTTCCGTGCCGGCCATGCCAGTGGCGCGCGTGGTGAGATGGCCGATTTATGCGCCTCGGTGCGTGAGCAGAACGAAGCGAGCGCGAAGATGACCTACCACCCGTCCTTACAAAAGCGACCTCGCTTGGTGCCCTTGATTGGACTGGACCTCGCGACCAGCAGTGCAGTCCGCAGTGCAGCCTCTGCGGCCAGTGAGCACTTGGAAGAAATGGAACAGATTCATCACGCCTTTGAGTGCCGAATCACTCGCGTGGAGACCAGCGAGGACAGTGGCCTTAGTGGTCCAGACCTTCCTGAGTTGCCCCTCCAAGCACCGCGGAAGAGCTGCTTGAAGAAATCCGACAAGTCTGAGGCCAGATGGACTGAACAGATTTTCCAGGTACAGTTGGCTTGTTTTGTTTGGATATTCTCGATGGAGGGCATTCTCTTCACATGAGTCGTACATAGACCTACAGTATGACCCAAAAGCCAAGAAAGCAGATGGTTTTCCTCTCAGACATCTAGGAAGCACTAAGACCATTTAGCATTTTTCCACTCCAGGCGAAGCTTCGCAAGCCCGAGCGACACCCCATGCCGCGCCAAAGCAGTGCGCCAGCCGCCCAGCAGGTGGCATTGAGACGGTCCTGGGCCACCTTCATGCGGGAGGGCGCGATACCCACGCGAGACCGAGACATAGAAGGAGACGGGGATAAGACCATGCAGATGTTTTCCTAGACTGGATAGGTGATCATGCTTGTGGGTGTTCGCAGATTTCCATAACCTGGCCAGGAGGGGATATTCTATCACCCTGGCAACGGAATAGTACTACGGCTTCAACAGTGAGCTCCAAGACAGGCATTGGCTTCTTTACGCATATCGCAGTCTCGATGCTTTGCTTGGTGCCTTACCTGAAGACACAGTCGGGCTCTCTCTTTTGCCTCTTCCTACCAACGACATACGCTGCTTACATTGTTGGAATGTGGGTGAAGCTGCGCTTTCGCGTGCCGAACCCTCTAGATCAGCCGCCCAGTGTCATTACCAGAGTCTTGCGGATGGAACGATTGGTGCGAGAGGGTTCTGTGCCCCATTGGTTTCCGCACTTGGCGTCTGTGGTGTATTTAATCATGGTATTTCAGCTGGAACTGGGGCATTCATTCCAGTCCTATGCGAGATCTCAAAGAAGCACCCTCCTGAGTGCAGGCCCTCAGCGTCATGACTACAACTGTTGGGGCACAGATCAACAAGACGTGGCAGATTGCGTTCTGGTCCGACACGCGGGTTATACGATCACCGTGTCCTTCTACATCTGCTTGATCGTCATGGCCGTGTGCAATCGGAAGGTGAAGGGCTCGGACTTGGTGGGTGAGCATGAGAGATCTCTGGAGGAGCTCTTTCCCATGGAAGCACCGTCCCTCTTGTGCTACGTCGAGCCGCTTGGCTCTTTTTTTTAATCTCGAGACTCCAGAAGGGGGGGGACAACTGAAGGCACTGGACCATGCATTCTTTGTTTGCTTGACAAACAACACAAAGTTGGTTGGAGCAGAGCGCAGGCAGGTGCAAGTTGGCTGATTTTGGGCAATCTTGAACTCAGGACAATGACGTGCTTTTCCACATCTATTCCCACGCAATGTGGGGACCAAATTGGTTGGTTTGTTTATACATACACAGCATTTCAACTTTCAACTCAATCCCCAGGGCCATTCACGATGATGCAAACAAAAAGTGGCACCTTTCAACTGAACAAGCTATCTCCCTCCTTTACGGACTCAAGAGCTTCATCCCTTTCCTGGGAGACATCCCATTTCCGCCCGAAGGAGCGGGCCATGATCCTGCGAATCAGCGCGAACCGACACCAAGGAGAAGCGTGAAGTCCAACTCCACCTTTTGGCGCTCGCATCGACACTACAAGGTCGGGCCATGTGGCGCAGAAAGCGATGACAAACCAGTGACCCAGGTGGTGTGCCCACAGGTTGGCCACAGGTGAGCCGCAAGACAACAACCTGTGAGGACCACGAGGACCAAGCTTCGAGCTTGACCAAGGTAGAGTAATGTCAGTTGAAGGTGGTCGGATCGTATCCGATCGTATCCGATCGTTGTCCCAGTTTCATCCCCGAAATCGGGGTTGTTTGCATCAATGATCTTTGGTTGTTTTGTGGCCCAGCGAGTGGGAGGTAGGCCCAATTGATGATCATTTGCTGCGCTCTTCAGGCCCAGTCTGTGGTCTTATCCTTGTCCTGGACGCTCATGTCTTTTGGGGTCTACTGGGAGCTTATGCAGGCGATGGTTGGGTTGTGTGGGTTGGAAGTTTGGAAGAAGTTTGTACATTCTTGGGACTTGAAGAAAGATGGCTATGATAATCTGATAGGCCCGCTAGGATCACTGGTGCACAGCTTTGTCCCGGAGTTTTACCTTGCTTGACTAGGGAAGACAGACTGGTGATGACATCATTTGTTGGAAGACACAGCACTTGCGCCTTTTCGGGCACTGTCACTTGGAGGGAGCCAAGACCAAGACTGCCCAGGCGGGCGTTTCTTGGCGCGACTGGGACGATTGGGTCATAAATCCCAAAAAGACCAATTGTTAATATTGTTGTATTTTTGTTGGATAGTTTGGAAGGGCTTGAAGGTACATAACGGTTCGAGGTTCTTGGACAGTACATGGCATTGTATCATCTCAACTGTCCTCCGAATGTACTGACACAGCACTTTCCACAGACTGGAAGCATTCTGAGCCTGGAGTGGACAGGACGGTTCTGTTCACGCCACAAGGAAGGCAGTTCTGTTCACCATATGTTTGTGTAAGATCAATGGTGAGAGATCGACCGAGTAAACGACCGGATTATTCAACCCCAAGTAGTAAATGGAGGGAAGGGAGCATATTCTAAAGATCACCCAAAGAATATTATTTTCGCAGGATGTGAGGAAGCTGCCCCGCAGCAGGTCAAGCTTGGGAGTATCCCCCAAAAAGCCTCAAAGCTACTCTGACCGACCTATATACTGTCTACAAACCTTTTTGACATCCACCCAAGGCATCCACGAATCTGATGACACTTAAACAGGGCAGACAGTGAAACTGTTGAACAGACCTTTCGCCGGAACTGACCAGACCTTCGTAGCGTCCGACCCCAGATCACCTGACCTGACCGGCTGACCTTCGTGACCAGGTGGTCTTTTGCAGTGCGCTCATTTGCACGTACGCCTTGCAATACACTCTCTTGAGGCCCGGAAGAAACACCATAAAAAGCGGGCCCGCCCGGATGAGTGGGATGGGTTCTGATCATGAATCTCGGCTTGAAACCGAATGCTGCTGTTTTCTTGGTCTCTCGTTGGTTTACTGTTTGCAGTTTATGTGGGTCTGCCATTTTGACACACATGACCAGGGGCTGAAAAACTTGACTTGTTCTTTACCTACCGTTTTTAACCATACCCCTTAGCTGGGGGCAACATCCCTTTGCCTTTGACTGCATTGAAAAGATTCTGGCCACAGTCACCATCTCTTGCTTATTAACCTCACGTTTGCATCCAGGCATGTGCTACTTCGAGTGATCCTGCACCTGGAAGGTGTCAAGGTGCTACCAGTTTGATGGACAGCCGGACAGCCATTCTCTAGTCTTGCTGAGCTAGTATGCTTCACTATATCACTGACTTCGAACATTTGCTGACAGTCTTTTTGCACAAGGCACAAACTGGGCCTTCAACTGGACTCATCCTAGTCCAATGCGGACTTTCATCCGGGGGCCGTGAGGTTTGCCCACACCTTGGCAGTATCTCAACCAACGCCTTTCTAAAGCTCTAGACTTTTGATGACTTGTGTACTGTATCAAAGGACACTCAATGAGGACGTCTCGGGACAGGACCCAACCAACCAATGGCTTTTCACCGGTCTTTTGGAGCTTCTTAAGGAGTTGCTCCCAGTGAACGTCCCGGTTGAACGTAGTAGCATCCTTGCTCTGTTCGTAGCGATGCCAGGAGCCCCTAGTAGCGTCCCTGCTCCTAGTAGTAAGGCCAGGAGCTCCTAGTAGCTTCTTGTTACCCAATGCGCCCTGTGCAATTCTTCTTTATAGCACCCACCCCTCCAATCCAGGCCCGAGCTGCGGCCATGGCCTTTTGTGACGAAGAAGGGGTTCGGGGACCAAGATCTCCCAACTGAGACTGCGTGAGGAGACGAGCAAGCAAACGAACCGTGCTGTCAACCACAGCACAGCAAGGTCTCCTGAGAAAAGAAACAGAAGAGGGACTTCATTTTCAAGAGTTCCAGGGGTTCCTACAAGAACTCCAACCTCTGATTCCTCTGCGAGCTCCAGGAATTTGGGTCGGGTTTCTCCAACACCACATGCACAGCCCAGGTGCTGCCCTTTACTTCGGCCCACTCAGTCTATGTGTGGTTCTCGGTGCGGCGGAATGTCCAGGCGCAGAACGAGGCGGGTTTTGGGGATTGACCTTGGAATCCGTGCCGGAGTTTGGCGTGGCTGTGGGGGTGACGATACCTTTAAATAGAATGCTTCAGAATTCTGAGGGGTACTGAGCCAACTGAGTCTTCTTGGACATGTTGAACCTAGATGCTCGTGGCAGCTGCGAAGCTGAGCATGTACCAGTGAGTTGATCCCATTGGTCAGGTCCGGTTTCAAGCTCTTGCGAAATCCAATTGACATCCATTCACAAGGTCTTGCAACATTCACAGGTCTTCAATGGTTCAGCCTGTGGAGATGCCAGGTGGCTTACCAAAACGCGAGCCCCATCTTCACTGCCATGCTGATTTGCGCAGCCGCATGTTCCTGCTGGGTGGCCGGGGTCTCAACCTTCGTGCACACAACCATGCCAATGAGTCCAATGAGTGTCCCTGCACAAGCTGCAACCCGAGTTGCATGTCTTGAACCACCCGAGTTGCAGTCCCTGTTTGGCACTCACTCACTCGATGAATAACATCGGAGTGTAGAGAACAGACGCCGCTTGCCACCAGATTTCGCAGCTTCGCCAGCGTGGGATCACCGTACGGGCCTTGGAGACAACGCTACAGTAGCGGACGGGTTAGAATGCCGTGGGGTGAAATGCCAGGGATGTCCAGAAGGTGAAATATGGAAAACAAGACGTTCAATTGCTGATGCTGCTGCTTGCTTTTTGTCGTGACAAAACGTTTGACGAGCTCAGCGGCTTGTTTATGACTGGAAGACGGAAGATTACCTTTTTCTGGTCAGGTCTTTGGCCTCACCAGCCGTGGCGGAGCATCCCTTATGGCCGCTTGCCACTCTCACACTGCTGGAAAGAGGTGGTCATAGCTGAGAATGAGCGAGGTTGCTGTTGGTGCTGAACCCTGCTGAACCCCTGTGAGTTTCATGTGAGCAAAACGTCCAAAAGCGTGATCCCCCAAGTGGGACATCTGCCTTCGACATCTAAAAGAGACTCCGTGGTTGGGATGGATTAGGGAGACAAGAAGAAACCAGACATCATGGGACCCAAAAGAGCCAATTCGTGGGACATCTGTTTTTCTTCCAATTGGACCGATGCTTGTGGCATGATGTGGCTGACAAGAGTGACCCCAAAACCACAGCCCCAGCATGACACCACACCTGCATGGGAAGACACACATAGACGCACCCTCACTCAGATGACCGACCCGATCCCTCACGCAGATGAGCTCCAGGTTGTGGCCTCCGCGTTGGTTTCGAGCATCTTTGTCGGCGTCTTCCTGAGCCCCTTGGGCGCGCTTGGGCCAGCGCAGAGGGTCAAGTTCACTGGGCTTCGCCAGCACAGCTTGGAGGATGGCACATGTGGCGAACAGATGGCTTCAAAAGGAGCTTTTTTGCTTCATGAGAACTCTTATTAGAACAGAATTGAATAGAACAGATATAGTTGTTTAGATTTTTTTAGGGGGTTGTGTTCGCACCAGTGGCCTTTCATCGGATAGCTATGATTCTATATTCAGATCTATGATCGGTCTATGCTATGTGTACACATACTCCCAGAATCATCATGGAAGTGGAAATTTGACCTTTGGATAACAGCTTTCCTCTCAAAGTGGTGGTTTTCCACTTCCATGATTCCAGGGAGTGTAGCTTGATTTATACAGTGCCTCAGGAGGTGGCCGCAAAAACGGCCCTACACTTGACCGTTTTCTTACCAGCCAGCTGCTGATCATTGTGCTGTGGCATCGGCTCAGGAACTCTCCTGGAGATTGGCAAGCTCGAAGATGCTCACGTGACCGTGCATTCTTTTTACATGTAAAAAAGGCCGCTCTGCCCTCCAACCTAGAAGCGATGGCCTCCAAGCTAGTATGTACTACTACAGTTTTTTTGGAACAGATCAGCCACCATCAACACCTGCGGTTGTGTGGGGACACCAACGGTGGACATTGATTGACATCCCACCCAAGCGCAAAACTCCGTTGTGGTGGAAATGTGCTTTGCAACACGAAATGGCAGTTGGTGAGGTACGCCAACTGCGTATTGCACATTTGCGTCTTGAGCATGCACGATGCATTTTGAAGGCCAACTGCATTGATTTCTTCAAGTTAGGAGGTGTATTGGGACATAAGCCAATTCAAAACACGTATACTTACTCAGTAGAAATGAAGCCATGCTGTTTTGCTGGGTTTCCCTTTGCGGACCAATGTGCCAGGTGCAGAAGGAGTTGGAGCAAGCTCCGTCACTTGGTCCCACTCTGTGCGGATTTGAGGTCCTCAGAGGTTGCAAGACATCTGGGAAGGTGATTCAAATTCAGATCATTTTGCAATCACTTGGTGGATCTGATCATCTGGTCCGGCGACTGCCACGACTCAGGTCCAAGAAGCGCCTCTCGCGCGTTGGGGGGCTCAGCACGAAGATGGGCGCGCCCATGCGCATGGGCAAGCATGCAGGGGGAATGCGCGACAGATGTTTTGGGTGAATCATGGTGGATTTGCATGGATTTGCATTTTGAGACCATTTGGAGTTCTTGTCTCAAGCTGGTGTTGCCAGGTGATTGTGACACCTGATGTTTGTCCAAGGATTCCATGGTGAGCGTGGCGGACGAGCAAGACATGGAGGGAGCCATTATCTCAGAAATGTTTGAAAGTCACTTATTCCGAGATCTCACTGACTCCGTCAGGTATTCATAGATGTACTTACAAGCCATGAACTACTGAAAAAGTCGATAGGTCTGCTTTTGTGCAGATCACATTTGCTTGCGAAACAAGAAAGGGGGTTTGATGACTGGCCCATCCGAGCACCAAATCTTGTTCTGTACTCGTCCAAATCGATTGGCCAAGGCTACGAGCATTGACAAACATGTGTGCCCTTGGTGTGGCTTTACATCACCTAGCATGCAGCTCTACGCTATCCCCAAATCTATCAATCAATATTTTTCTTCACAGCCTTTGCACGGCCATTTGAATAAGCTTTAAACCTGCTCCTTCCGAATCACATGTTTTCCGTGACCAAATCGCCGGGTACCAGATGATGAGCAGGTACCGAAAGGGTTCTGACCTTTCCATGCGCAACATGTTCAAGTAAGAGGGCCCCTTTAAGTCCATCGAGTATTCCCAGATCCCTTCATGACTGTCACGACCTCCAAGGCCTTGTTGATGATCGAACGGGTGATTGCCCTGCTGGAGTCGGGCGCTTGATCGGTCGGAAGAGCGAACAGCTGAAATCATCTCGACAAACTTAGGACCCAAACATGGGCAGAAGAAAAACGGCTATAGTCATAGGCTATACTGTATATAGACAAGTTCTGCCATGTTCTGCCAAGTGCATTCGATGTCCCGATGTCAGTGGAACATCCACTACCACTTGCGTCTAAGAAACCCTTGACCTGTCCCAGTTTAATGCACCAATCACGAGGCAACACGATGTGAAGCCCACCATGTTCGGAGTGGAGATCGGATCCAAGTCTTTTCAGGTGGGGATTCATTTGTGCCCAGATGTGATAGATGTTATAGATGCGACTTGCCTGCGTATTCGGATCTTCCTCCACTCCAGGTGGTGTATGCAGCACTCCTCTCAAATCTTTGGTGTGGCCGACATGTTATTGAATCGCTGACAGTCCTTATATGGACCCGATTCGCTTGGCTTTCATTGTTCTGCTATTTCCTGATGTCGAGGTATTTGATGGTGTGGGGAGTCCTGATTCCAGTCATCAATGCCCATGATGACTAGTTGACATGTCTGAGCCCTAGGACTCAAACCCATACTCTGCTTGTTGCCGCGGGTTGTTTTCTTCCGTACGAAGCAAGTGACATAAGAGTTTACCACCCCTTGCAGGCGTTCAGCTGCAGCCTCAGGGCAAACTTTTGAGGCTGAATCGACCGAAATAGATCAATACATTTTAAGGCCATATTCCAAGCTTTAATTAACCAAAAAGGATTCAACATTGATCAGAGCAAACAGGATGGACAAAACTGATCAAATTGTTGCTTTCCTTTTGATGCTTGGACACAACCATTCCTTTCTCTCCTGATGATTGTCCCGCTGGAGAGTGAAAGAGGGCTTTTGAACTTCCCATGGTCGCTTTCATGGGCAAAGTCCCAACAAATCCACTCAGTCGCGACCAGAGCGTTGTTAGGCGTGGGTGGGGAAGATCCCTGTCCCACGAGCTGTTCACACGAAGAAGATCGATCGGACAAAACTGTGTGGTGCGTCGGTGGTTTGGATGTGCACGGTCAAACCTCGTAAATTTGATGATCTCCAAAGCTTTTCTTTCTTTCCATCCTCATCAAGCATGGCTCAAGGCTTGTGAAATCAGCATGCTTTGGCCCTGAAAGTTCCCCCACATTGGGAGGCAGAGATGAGAAACGCATCTATCAGCTCCTTAGAGGTTCTTAGGCTTTCATTTGGATTCTGGATTTGTGGATCCTATCTATCCATTGGTAGTGAATCTAAGGTTGTGAGTCCCAGTTTGCTCCGAAATTTCTATTGTGTCAGTGGCACCTTGCATGGTCGCTTAGGTGGAGTGCCAGTACCCCTGCAGAATCATTATATAGTAGGCCGGAGGTCGCCAGACTCCGATTCAACCTACCCGATTCATTCCCACTATCAGGGTACAAGACACAAAGCTTGGCTGGACAGAAGTGCGTCTCTCCATGTTGTCCCAGCAAATCACATAAATCTTTGGTCCAAGACTATGGCCTATATATTGGGTCTGTCCTATTAACTGCAACAGTCAGTAAACAATTATCATTATTGAACAAGGCCTGCAACTGAACCATCATCATCCACTGTTACAGGTCTTAGGATCGACCCAACCTATATAGCTTTAAATCCTTTTGGATTCGACTTCACGGCTCCGACTTCTCTCACGGATCTCATCCGGTCGCTTCGCCATGGTGCTCAGTGCAGCAGTCCAGGCCGCCGAGGCCGCGGCCTCCAGCGGGCAGCGCTTGGATTTGGAGTTCGCCCAGACGATGCGAAGCATCGACCGAGCGCTCAAGGCGGTACGCATTGATCGCCATGTGCGGATTCGAGGCCAGGAGGATAGATATATATATATATATATGTGAGTGTGTGTCTCCATCGTTTTGCTTTTTTTCCCCGTTAGATGGCATGTTTGGGTACCGCATTCTCTGCGATATTGTTTCGTGCCCTAGCTTATCACACACATAATTACTTAGGGAGCCACGGGGACATCACTCTGTGCAGGATTTTGTTCGTTCAAACATTGATGGGGAAAGGTTTGATGTGGGGATGTGGAAGGCTTGATTCATAGAATTCAGGAAATTCCTTTCGTAGATGGGTGTGTGCCTTTCCTTTCCTAGCATTGAGTTACCGAGGTTTCTCTACACTTTTCATCAAGTGCAATATTTGATCAGAAGATCAGTATCACGCTTCCATGGCACAATCAATTTTCAACGCTCCATGTCAAATCGACTGAACCACCGCTGCAATTTGATCGTCCTTCGATGTTTCACTGATTCTTGCGATCTAAAGCGCCACATCCCAACTCCTGAGCCTACGGTTGTGCTATAGTTCTCCATTCCTCAAGAAATCAAGAGGCTTTAAGTTCATTTCAGAACTGCTTTGGCAGGGGAGCAGTGGGCACAACGTCTGGCGCTGCTGGCAAAGCTCCGGCAGCCTTTGTTCCAGAAAGATCGGAATCTACATGCAGATCTTCTGCTGAAGTGCATCCAGGAGCTTGGTGATATGCCTGGAAGATGTTGTCAGTCATAAGCCATTCTATGGTCAGTTGCACTGCAAAATGCCTGCGGAGGCCTTCCTACAAACGCCTAACTTCAACAAGACGAAACGTGGTAGGACATCTTATATTCCTTGCACATCCTTGCACAACTTATGGCTGTCCGCTGCCTTGAAGATTGACGGAAATGTGCCTTTGGGACCAAGAGCATTCTTGCATATTCTTGCAATTGACGCGTTCATACATCCTCTAGATCGTTGCTGACGAAAGTATCCGCCATCCACCATCGACTCCACTGACCTGTCGAGGAGGGCCACTGGACGGAGCCCATGGACAAGCACCCGCCGGATGGCCCGCTGCCCTCGCTGCCGCAGCATGTCGCTTGCATGCTCCGGCGCCAGCGGCAAGAGCGAAGCATGTCCTGGTCTCGTGGAGGCGAAGCATGTCCATGGTGACCATGGTGACCATGGTGACATGGGGTTCAGAGGAAAGGAAAGGCGAGGAACCATGGACATGGATGGGCATGGTGACCAATGGGCCCCTAGCCATGCCCGGCCAAGGTCTAAAGTCAATGGTTTGACATGCTATGCTGAGCGAGAAAGGACGGAAGGAACACGTTTCCTGTGATGTTTCAAATCAAGACCTTAGCTACCTAGATTTGCCCGCAAACCAACCAGCGTTCCGCTTCAGAACCAGTCCAACGGTCCCAGCTGCAACAAGCATCAACACGCCTGTGTCCTTTCCGGGTTGCAACAGGTCCTACTCTTGCATTTGAGCATCAATCCTCCCAAGACCTGCTTTCCATAGCTGTCCCCAGGCTTCACCGATGGCTACCCATCCAAAGAAGCACCGAACTTCGGATCCTTCGCACCGGGCCACGGCGCCCAAAGCCTGGCGCACGCTGCGGCGGCGGCGGTGAGTGTGCCCATGTCCATGGCTTCGGCTCCACCAGCTTATACCGCCTTAGCTGCACGCCTCACCTACCTGGAGGAGCAGAATCGACAGCTCCGGAGGCAGTTGGACGCCGAAAAGCGCCGCGAGTCCGGCCGCGGCCGCGCCGAGCAGGCGGAGCGGTCCCTGGAGCGGTCCCGCAGGCCGTCGCCGTCGCTGTCGCCGTCGCCCGCGCGGCGTGCGGCTCGAGGTGGCGTTCAGACGGCGCGGCCGGAGGTTTCACTGGCAGAGTCTGCAGATACGGAGGCATTCATGAAATATTTGGATGTCTTTCAAGCGCAGGCGCGTTCATTGCTTCGCCAAAGCACTGTGCTGTGATGGACTGCCATCGCGTTTGAGATCGAAAGGGTCGATGCATGTACATGCAAACTCTAAATCCTGTAGAAGTGTGGAGAAGCTTCAAAGAATTCTAGGGCATAGAACAAAGTACTGCATGTGAACATACACTGTGTTGTCCTGGATGCAGCTTTGCTTCAGCTTCGGAAAGGTGGGCGGGTTCCGCGTACGGAGTACGGATGGACGGAGTCCTGCACCATTGATGATACTGTAGTTCTGCAGGACCTTATGCAATGGTATGCCCGACCGAGTCTCTACATGTTGGGCCGGTGGACTGTGCAAAACACACCAGCAACTGACACAACTGATCTTGCAGCACATCCGCTGAGCATGGTGACAAAGCTGGTCCAGCTCTTCTTGTGGCTTCTCATGTGACTGACCGTGATTGAAATTGATGCCCTAATTGAAACAGGTCTTATTTGAATAGATTTCAGACCGCATTGTTGGATTCAGATGCAAATGTAGGGCGAGGCTTAAAGCGGCCGTGGTTTGGCCTTGCCATGTTTGATTTTGATGACTTGGAAACGACGGCCGCTGGGTTGCATTTTGAGTTGAGGGTTTTTTGCGGAACCCAGAGAAGTGAAAGCTACGCACAATACCGCATGTAAGTCATATATGAAGGTAGTCAAATTACGGACTTTCAACCACAAAGCTTTGCATTCCGAGCGAATTTGTCCAATCGCCGGCTCCGTCGAGCCCTCAGGATCCGACCGTGAACTCACTGGAGGCCTGGCGTTCTTCCTGTTTTTGCAAGTGTGAGAGGCGTTCTTCTGTTTCTTTTTAGTGGGCAAGCAGGACACCATTTGTCATGCATGAATCATTGACAAAAGACAGAGACATGCAGGCAATGTAGAATGTAGAATGTAGAGTATATAGGACTCTGGGTCTCTGGCAGTTCCACTTTCCAGTTGTTCCTGTACTCCTGCACCTTACTCTTGCATCGTCCTACTCCCTCAAGCTGCGAAAGTCCAGTCTCATCCGGCCCAGTCTCAAGGAGGCAACGGAGGCCACCATGGCGGTCTCTAAGGCCAGCGACTTGGTGTGGTACCTCGACCGCATGCATAAGGTGCTGGGAGTTCGAGAGTTCCAAATCGCAGAGGCCTTGATGGAAGGCCGCGTTGACCTTCTAAGTGAACCAGTTGAGTCTCAACACGGCCGCACCAGTTTGTACGAACTTTGCCACTATTGTGGCTGCTTCGACACCGCCGGCAAGATGATCGCAAAAGGTGTGCCAGGTTGCAGAGTAGAACTGCACCACCTCAAACGGGTTTTCTCTAAAAAATGGCCGTGGGGAGTCCTCAGCTGCTCTTGCAAGGCCTGTGACAGAACCTGTCGCCATTGCTGCTTTGGCTTCCCGGTGAATGAAGGAATCTGGATGCAAGATTGGGCATCTCTCACGGATGATGCAGCAGCTGCAGCACACAGCACGGCCCAGCAGCCCTTTGTCGGACAAATTCTCAAGGCCTTGCGCTTGGGCACTTGCCCACTTGGTGACATCTCTGAGGAGGCGATGGTGCACCTCCTCGACATTGCCATTTTGATTGGTGACAAAGAGGTCGCCACAAGATTGGCACAGCATTCGAGACTTCGGCCCTTGCGGAGGTGGCGATCCGAGGAGATGTTTATTTGCAGCGAGCACCAACCATTGGCTTACGATTATGGCTATTGCCTTATACCTAGCCTGAGTGTCACCGGAGCTTCGGCGGTGCTGCTCGCAGTCGCAGCTCTCTCTGGCGGTGCCCAGCTACAGCGCCTCCAAGTGCCAGTCCACAGTGACTGTATCGGTTCGGATTTCCTCTCGATCGCCCAGGCCCTGGTCCTTTGTGAACGTTGGTGGGAGTTCACAGACTTGACTGAAATTCTGCAAGTTCAAGAGCCTCAGTATCAGTTGTATGTCGTGTCAGTGTCACTTCTCGATGTTGCCATTTGTCTTCGGCAATTCGACTGTGCCGCTTTTTGCTGTGCCGTGGGTGTCAGGCTAACCAAAGACTTCATCGAATCCGCTAGGAAGAGGAAGGGGTTCTGCTGGAATGAAGTGGCAAGAGCTTGTCAATCAGAATCAGACTTATTGAGGAGGCGTGACCTTTGCGCAAAGGGGATTGCCATCTACCAGATGTTCAGCTATTTTGAGGGTAAACCTCGTTTCCGAAAATGGTTGGTGGAAGAAGTGGTGGCCTTTGCCAGGGATTCGGATGTTGTCGATCATCTACTTGAGTTAGGTCGTGTGGACAAAACCAGTGTTCGCACTGGGCATTCGCCACCTCCATCGCTTCCAGTTGACGAATTTGACGATGCGGATGCTCCTGCAGCTGAAGGAGTGGAGGGCACTGGCCAAGCCATGGAACCATTTGATAGGCCAGAGACCATTGCAAAATCGGATGAGAATCTTAGTTGATTTTGGCATATTTTTGCAAATTTTCTGCCCATCGTTTTGAACAGCGATTGCGTGGTGTATTTCTGTCTAGCCAGCTTTAGATCACTGCCGCTATGCCGCTGTACACACTCGACTCCACATCACTCCACATTCCCGGCGCCAAGGACCGATGAGGCGATGCGAGCGTTGCAGGAAAGCCGACAGGAGCTGCCGCCCCTGAACGTGGATGGAGTCTTTCTCTGGCGCCTCACGCGCCAGTGGAAGGCCTCTTGGGTGTCCAACTTGCTCTTGGACCCCACAGGTCCTTTGTCCGCCCTGCACTCACGTGTCCTGGAGGCTGGCTGTGAGGTAGATCCGGAGTGGAATCCGCTGAAGGTGCTCTTCATTCCATGCACTGAAACTCAAATGAATGAGCTGCAGGGGTTGGCTACTCAAGGAATCTCGGAATTTCAGAGGAGGTTTTCAGACTGGACTGTTTTGAGGGGCCAAAGCAAGTAGATCACTTGTTTGACTTGAAGTCGTGTCCAGGTGGACCAAACTGCCGGATGTGCAGGTGTCTTGAGGTATGACTTTCTGCATTCTCATATGAGCTGTTTCCTTTCATTGGTTATGTAGTTACAGAGCTCCTTGAGGACCTGCTGCATCTTAGGATATGAGCTGTGCAAAGATTCCCACATCTTGGCTCTTCAAGAAGATGGGGGACTGATTGATCGAGCCTTGCGTGAGAACATCAGGAAGAAGGACAGACCAGCTATCAAGAAAGTCGTCCCACAAACAGATCCACAAGATGAGCATCCACAAGACGACATGGACGACGAGGAGCCCTTTTTGATGCTTGAGGAGGAATCCGAACAGATTCCAACTTGGGATTTCCATCCTACACCCGAGAAATTGTTGAGTAAGCTGTACAGCCCGAGCCAGATTCACTTGCTCGCCGTGCTTGTCAAGGTCTTGAGCCTTGATGGGTGCAGATGGGTCGGGTTCACTCACCTTGTAATCTGATTGCAAGCCGCTGCCGGCCACTTCACATCAAGTTCTTTGGTTCTTCCAATGATGTAGTCATGTAGGCAATTGACCTGATTATATAACCCGCCAACTGCCCTTTTACAACCACCCACATGGTCACATGGTCTAGCCTAGGAGTTGCACTTGGTGTGGGTCATCTTGCGGCGTTGGCTTGGAATAACCCTTCTGGCCCACATGTGTTTGTCACTAGTCGCAGGACTATCAGGACTCCAGAAAAGAAAACACGATTCAGATCGATTCAGCTTGAACGACTTGCAGTACACCATATTTGCACCAGGTTACAAAAGTGTTTCTAACCGCTTGCTTGTCCTTATTCCTGAGGAGTCCTGGATGACCTTCGAAAAATCTTAGGCCATCTTAGACCCAAGCGATTTAGCGCTTCGAAGCAGACTCAGCTCTGCAGTCCTCCACATCTGTATAGCTTGCTCTAGCCAAGGTCTTGTGCCTCGGGTAGAAGCAGCCTCTGAGGGAAGAGGTAAGCGCTTCGCCGTTGAAAAAGCAACCGTGAGCACTGTCCAGCCTTTTGCTGAAGAAAACGCCTTGGCGAAATTGGCCCACCTTTGGGTGATTTGTTCGTACGACCGTCCCACCTTTTGAGAGTTTTCGTGCCTTTCTCTTTCATTGCAGTTGCTTGTGGTGTGAAAATCGGGCGAGCGGGTCCGCCTGATCCGGTAGTCGTTTTCAGGATGAAGCGGCAGCTGCTGCCGAGTTGCTCAATAGCCAGGTGGGAGCCCTTGCATGTGCTTTCATTAAGTTGGGTGTGTTTTGCCTGGTCCTTACAGCTTAATTTGTTGGACGACCTTCATTGTTTTGCCAGTCTTGATCTCCATACCTCCACTTGAGATTTACACAAACATAGAGACATAGATTTATAATGATTTATATATACTATATATATATACTGTATATGATTTACTCAGTTTCTTACCCTAACGGAGGCCATCACTGACCGCACCGACCGAGGCCTTCACCGAGCGCCGGGACGCCTGCCGTGCCTTGGCGCAGTTGAAGGCCGCCGCGGAGCACGGAAGCTCAGCGAAGCATGGGAGGTACGACAAGAACTCATGGGGTGGACACGTTCATGGGGCACAAACAACATGAACAAAACACAAGCAACATCAGGTCTCACACAAGGTGCAACATGAGGTCTAAGATGCTCAACATGGGCCAACCCAAGGATTGGAAACAGCTGTCACGAAGTGAAGAGGTGGAACTTAATTGAGATCCTTCCTTCGCTGATGTGGAATTATCCTATTTGTGACATCAACCATACCATGAAGATGTTCACCAGCCTGTTGGGGTGTCTTCTTTTGAATTCATATATCATATATCCAGATCCAGCCAGAGTGTTCTGTTTAATGAGGACATGTCCACCACAAACATCCAAGTGCTAGGCGTTTTCCTCCTCTACGCCATTGTTGAGAATGTTGAGAAGATTTCCCAGGACTTGTGCACAAAATCTGGAGCTTTCCTTAGACTTAGACCACGTAGATGATTGATGCACAGCCATGGTCTCTCATCCAAGGCCCTACTTGCCACGGCTCTTAGAGGTCTGCGAGTCAGATGAAGACTATGAGGCGCACACGTTGGGACGAAACTTGGTCTGTGCCAAGTGCCAGCAAGCTGAAGTGGTCCAGTGCGAACGTCTTGCCATGCCATGTTCAACGTTCTGTCCTTTTGCACAGCTGTTCAGTTGAACATGTTGTTTTTGGTGGTCATACCTGCTCACAGACCAATTAAACGCCGGCTCCAACGCCGCCCACACGCCCTTGAAGGTGAGGAAAGCGGCCAAGACAGCCTTGCGCACCTTGCGGGTCAGCGGCATCAGCCTAGCAGAGGCTGTTTCTGGCCGTGGAAGAGGGGTGGAAGGCTGAAACTTTTGAGTTTATTTCTTCACCACCCATGGGCGGGAATCTGCTCAGACTTCCTGCCTTTATGGGTTTCCTACAAGTTCCTGGATGGGTCCAGATATATAATATAGAAGAACATTCATGAGTTTGTTGATTATGTTTGAGGACACTTTATGTGGACTGACTGCACAGGTGCCACGGAATTGACTCTGCGGGCCATCACACAATGAACTGGACAATGGACAGTCAACTCATTGCGCGCATGTGCGAGGATGATACCTTTAGACTCTAGACTGCCAGAGCAAGCCATGCCATGTCGCGTATACAAACAACACTCTGTTCTAACTAATTTGGACGGCCAAGACCCAGTTGGACAATGTTGGACACCTACTTGCAAGTTTGACATGAGCTGACCTTTTCGCGACTTGAAGTGAGATCCGCCTGGACCGGGCAGAAGAGCTGACCCTCCGCGATATGACACATCCGACCAGGCCAAGAAGCCGCCGAAGGAGGACTCCTTCAAGCGCCCTCGCTGGGGTCCAAGAGGACTTGGTGGGCAGGCAGTTGAAGCAATTCTTTGAGCCACCATGAACACCTGTGTTAAGGAATGACAGGATGGAGATGCATTGACAATAGGGCCACCGGTCACCGGTCACCAACTAATTTCATGTTCCATCAGATTCCATCAGTTTCCTCTTTATCACGCGAGGGTATACGTACATATATTAGGAGGGCCCGCCAATTGTTCATATACCTTTATTACCTTCAACAAAGTCTGACATAAGCATGGCAATTTTGACCAGGTCTGCCCTATATAGTTTATGTTGCAACAGATTGCCATTCGCGTTAGCTCACCAGTGGAAGCGCCCCAAGTGACAGATGGTTGACCCGATCAGCGTTTCACTTGTTTGTCAATAGTGGTCGGTTGAAGAGAAAAAGGGGTTGGAGGTATCGAGCCTCCCCACGCGCCTAGAATTTATTCATGAAGCGAGTATGTAGATTCGTTCTTGGGGTGCAAACGAACAAACCGCTTCTCTTCCGTTCTATTTCTGCAAGTCCCTCTGTTCTGAGGCCTTCATGAAAAGCAGGGTCCACAGGAGGAGCTCTTTTTCAGCGATTGGCAGGGGCCGAAGGCGCAACATTTGGAGATCATGTCGAGGTTTTTTTGATGGCCCTGCACTTGCTGTAGAGATGCATTTCCACGTATCGTACTGGCCCTGCCTTGTGAACATTGTTCACCATGCCCATGCCATTGGATCGAACCTATGACTTGGCTCATTTACACCACTTCTGCAGCCCGACGACCGTGGCAAGGACCGCGCCGCTCCGTCCACGAGCCCTGTCTCCACACACCGGACCCCCCCGCTCCGAGCCTCGCGCATCAGGTGGTCTTCGACATCAATGGCCAAATCTTGGAGATGTGCCTCGAACATCAGGCGAAGCCGCGAAGCGAGGGGCCTCTTGAGGCGAAGCGCCGCGAATTCGCTGCGTTCGACTCGATGTCAGGTGACGCCCAAGGAAATCACAGAGATCTGGGAAAGGCCGAGTTTTTGGGGCGCCGATGGAAGGATGACATGTTGGGAAGGTTGATGTTTGTTCTGACGCGGGTTTCAAGACAATTGAGATGCTCATGTTGGAATTGTTTTTTGGCGCTGGAGTTGTGGATCATTGGCCTACACGATCTATATACGCAGGTGGGACCACTTTCGACAGTTTGAGGACACATGTCTTGGTTCTTCATGGTTCCTCTATGCTTGGGACTTCCAAGCACTGGATGCAGCTAGAAATAGGTACCAAACTATACCAAACTCTTGTCTTGAGAAATGATGGCAAACTTCCGCATCATGTCATATCTGGTCCTATGTCATCGTTGAGTGCCAGAGCTTTTGGGCCCAAGTCACAAGCTTCTTTCAAGCAAAAGACATGTTAAGCTCTTCCTTAAAGGGTGCACTGGAAGCATGGCTTGTTTAAACATTAGACAAAGAACAGAACAGCACTTTTCTGCTTGCAGCACACGCTGAACATCCGAGATTCAGAACTCAAATGTGGTATGTTCTCGGTCCAGACATCGCAGACACTCACCCTGTTGAGACTCGTTTTCCCAGTTGCTCACCTCCAGACTCATTCGAACATTCAAGAACCACTCTTCATCCAAATGCCAAACGGGCCAAACGCTGCTCCTGTTTGAGAACCGCATGACTGGCCGCTGGACCTTCGTTTTTGGCGCGGCACTGTGTCTTCTACGACAGTACAGCTGCTCGACCAGACGAGTCTCCGATTCGCCTCAAAAGGGCCTCAAAGAACACGAGTCATGGTATATTATTCATGACATATCATGACTCGACCAGAGAGAAAAGCACCTCTTTTGGGACCAGGCTTCCTTTGTCGGTTGACATTGATGGGTCAATGACTCTGGATCATACTAGGGCACAAGCATACAGAAATGAAGATAATGAAGAGCCTTGGTACTATGAAGGAAGCTCATAGTGCCCCTTGTTGTCATGTTTTTGAAGCAGTGACTCGTGTAGAACCAAACCATAAATGGCTTGCTTTGCAGTTGCAGAGTCCATTTGCTCAGTTGCTCCAAAGCCCTAACAGCATCTCTCTCCCCAAACCCCATCAAAAACCACTCGCGCCAAAACACGCCCCCAAAAAGCCTCTTCTCTTCAGGTCCTTCCCACCAACCCACCGGCAACTTCTCCAATCCCATCGGATCAAACCCAGGCGACTTCGTTGCCGCGCCCGCACCGAGACTGCGCGGCGCTCGGCTTCCCGGCGATGCGTGGCCGCTCCGCGCCCAACGACCCGGCGCCGAAGGACCGCGCGAGAGGGAGCAAGGCGAGCTGACGGAGAGGGAGAGATGCAGATGATTTCGGATTGGGAAGAACGACTCCAAAGTGGCTGAAACATGAAGTTCCTTCTCAAAGAAACCTTTGGAAGATGCAATTGATAGTAATCATTTCAGAACATTTGAGAACCTCCACGGAATCCAAGTTGGCTCAGGAGCTCTTTCAATCTTTGGGTTCTGGTTTTGTAATAAATGTAATCTATATAATGCTCCCAATTGCTTCTTTGGAAGAGTTATCGGCAAAGCCCCTGTTTTTGGGGGCGTTTCGCACTATCAAAGAATGTTGAGTGTCAACATTGGTGGACAAATCATGCTGACGTGACAATTCAATGCCTCAAGTACTGCCAGTCGCAGTCTTATATATGCTGAGCCCATAACAAAGCAAGCACCAATGATCACCAATGCCAAGAAACCACAAGTTCTGCTTGAATGAAGTTGAATCTCCACGAATTGACTTCAGATGTTTAAATTCACAAAGTTAGATAAAAGTTACTGTAGTCAGTTTGACCAGGTACAAACATGCCACACCGGTCTTACTCTGCCAAGCCGATGGACGACCTGGTCTGCAGGGTCTGGAACTCGCTGGCTCACCTTGACGACCTCGGTGAACTCCACCGGTTTCAACGGAAGAGTGATGCCGGTCTTCCCTTTGGCTGGAGCCTATTTTCCCTTCTCAGAGATGGAGCTGAGCATTTACGAGCCCAGGCCGAGATGACTTCTATGTTTTCTGTTTTTTCAGGTCAGACGCCGTTTGATGGTGTTTGAGTCTAGACTCTAGACGCGCGAGTTTCTGCATTTGGTTCACGGCTTCATCGGATTGTGCTTCTACATATAATTTCCAGGATGTGTGTTCATATGCCTGGGGATCGTCCGCTCTTTGTGGGCTTTCTGCTGGACACACCAGAGTCATAACTCGTCGGTGCCCCGACTGCTCAGAGGTACCGCCAGCTCTACAACGACATTTTGGTCTCGGGCGGTCGGCGCTTCGTGGTGGTGGCTCCCCATCCGGAAGATGAGAACAGGATCGCGGAGGCAGGTTATCAACGGGTTGGGAGGACACTCTCATTTCTTGCTCCAGTAATCTGCCATGCAATTACTGCACACTTTCACTTGAATATCAGTAGTTTTCTCGGCCTGTTGCACTGGTACTATAGTGGTACTGATGCGGGAGACTGAGCTTCCAGAACTCTATAGGGACGTGCTTCCAACACCTTCAATGGTCACCTGATGTTTCAATGTTTCCAATCCAATGGCGGCAATGGCGGCGTGCCGGTGGCTGGTTCCGGTTTTTCTTCTTCGGACGGATCGGACTAATTAGGTGGGTGTGGTCTTCTATCTGGATGACCTCACCGACGTCTCGGAGGAGTCGGGCGATGAGGTGAAGTATGCCACTCGGTGACGACCCCGCGCGACGACCGGCGGCTTTTTCACCTCAAGTTGAAGTGACTCAAACAGCTAGACCAGGGGGACATCATGTGGACTGGTTTGTGGACACGTAGGCTTGACTTGATTGATTGCAGATCGGACCTGGTTGCCCCTTGGGCCAGGTTGAATCAGCTTTACCAAAAGTTCTTACATGATACATGGTGATACCATGTGATACCCGATTCACTTCACGTGGGTCGGCCGTCGGCGCGTCTTGCGATGCGCCCCGAGATTTGCAATCATCGCATCCTCGGCAGAGTTCGACTGCTCCGGATCCTCAATCCATCGGCCTGGGAGGACAGAACTGGAGGATTTCGCCCGGAATCGCGAGGCCATTTCACCATGTTTCACCGCCGTTTCACTCACCAACAGTTTTCTTTTTAATGTCTATGCATCATATCTTTTTGGGGAGGCAGTGATGTGTGGAAGGGAACCTTGAAGGGAACCAGCCCGAGCCCATGGATTTGGGGCAAGACTTGTCCTCTAAATGTGCTTCTTTGTTGGGATGGTGGGTTGGATGGAGCAGGAGGTGTACATGTTGCGGTTTTGCTCAGGGGACATGGTGGGTCGCAAGCCATTGATTGTGAGAGACGATGTGATACTGTAGATGGTTTCTCAGTTTCCCAAGATGAAACAGTATGCTGTCTTGAGACACAACAAATCATTGACAGTTGACAGGCTCCATTTTGGGGCTAAAATGCAGTTGTCAGAAACAATCGTTCAAGTAACATGGCTCGAATATCTTGAGACCCCCAAGGACGGAATGTGTGAACATCGCATTGGTGCAGCCAGGATGCCTTGACATGCCTTGACATGCGTCGCATGCAGCCTCACGCGGGCGGCTCTCGTTTTGGGTCAGGACATGTCCACCTATCTCCGTGCCGAAGTGGAAGACTTCATGGACACGGACACGGACGATCCAGCTGACGATGCAAAAGAGCAGGAGGACGCGGATCCGGCTTCTTTTCGTTTGAGGTCTCGTCTCTTCAAACATGGACATGTAGTCTATTTTGAAAGAGTCCAAGGAGTAGTGATATACAGTAATTGACTATTAATTCAGTGCACAATAGCTTGGCACAAAGCACTGTTTATTCTTAGGAAGCACTGGCCAGTTTTGTTGTCCTGCAAACTGACTGTATAGCATACAGTGGTACGGAAAGCTCTTTTGGACCGCCCAGTGGGCTTTTACTTTTGAAGCGGATCAATGCCTTCAGGTTGAAATATGAGTATTGACTCAATCCGTTGCCAGCATTGTGGAGCTTCAGTCAAAGACCTGCAGCTACAGCTAAAATATCTAAAATCTGCGAATAGACGCATCACTCAGGAAGGTCATCGAAGATGGTCCAAGTTTGATCATGACATCAACATACATCGACTATTGAATCAATTACAGTACGCCCACCTCAATCCATTTCAATCCATTCTCTCCCAGAATCCTCATGCAGTCATACCTCTCCTGCAATACTGACTGCTCATCACTGTGGGGCCGAGGAGGTGATGGATTTGCTGCAGAGAGTGGCCGTTCGCCAAGAGGAGTGGAGTGGACTCGTGTGGAAGAGAACCTCAACATTCCACTTCCGGATCTCGCCGTATGCCGTAGTCATTTTTCCATTTTAGGCAGGGTGTGTCGGTGTGTCAACTTCCCTGAAGTTTGCAAATCCGTAGTTCGCTCATGTTCCTCCATCTCTACAGGCGTTCTGCGCCGTCGACTCTGTCAGTTGCATCCTCGTGGCACGTCGACGGCCCCCGTCGGCGAGGAATTGGGTGGTCCGCACTTCGAGAGCCATCTCTCGGACCGATCCGACGGGACTCGCGATGCGGATCCGGTGGGAAGGACCACGTGTGGGGAAGACGAAGACGTTACGCTACGAACGGGGCTCCTGGCCTTACTTGTTGTGTCCTTGCGGCCAGTTCACTGCACGATATGTTCCATCCTGTCCCCTTTTCTGGGCGGACACTTCTTCACTTTCCTTGGCCGCACCAATCAGTGAACTCAGATTCATCAAAAGGAAATTCAGTACTTGATTGACTGCCTCTTAAACTGAAATCAATGGCCAAGGACAGCAGGGCCATGCGTTTCGCAGGACTATGCCAATGCATCTTGCGCAGAAGATGGTGGACTTTGGACTTTGGCAGATGTGTTTGCGGAGTGCGACACATATCGACACAGATGTTCTTCAGACAAACATGGTAAACCTGAAGCATTGATTCGCAAGCTTTTGCGAATTTAGGCCGCAGCATACTGCAGACTTAGAAGTAGACGTTTTGTTCTGATAGAGCGGCCCTTGTGATCTGGACACAAGAACTGCAACAGCAGGACAGTCATGGTGCCAATCAATGCACACACACACACACATGCTGCTGCTATTGCTTTCCGAAGGGAAGTTGTCCTGCCTCTTCATTGAGCAAAAGACTTGTTGGAAGGTACTTCGAGTTCTTGCAGTCTGAGAAAGAGCAGACCCTTGACCTCGATATCGAGCAGGTTGGCTGTGCATGTGCTCTGAACATGAGGTTCTTCCTGGCTTTTCTCCTTTGGATCCCTCTGAATTTCTTTCAACATGTCCATTTTGAGCCTTCTTAGACGTTGTGGAAAGGGGATCCCAGTTGGTCGCAGAATGAATGTGTGTCAGGTCTACCACAAATATGGCTTGGAGGTGCGGGTTCGTGCATCCCGAACAAGCGTGAGAAAAACAGCAACATTCACTCAATGGGGCGAGATTCGACTCAATGACTGACATCACTGCCGGTGGAGCAGCTTGGCTTGGAAAAAGGCCACTTCGCTTTGGCCACTTCACTCCAGCTTTCAGGATGACGACCAAGAGGAAGAGTACCAGAACTTCTTTGCATCCATAGCCTCTTGGCTGCAATTTCTGTGCGTCACTGATCGAGGTGCAACACCGTCCGGAAGGAGTTGAGTGACTTCCTTCCCAAACCGTCGTGGTTTGATGATGTTTGATGCATGACCCGGATTGACGAGGTTTCCCGGCTCCCCTGTTCAGCATGGCCAACATTCACACACTTAGTACCATTTATGTCGAACATCTTCAGCGATTCTTGCTCGTTTCAAGCATGCCAAAGCACACCCAGAGCGCACACTCGCTTTCTTGATGTTTCTTGACAGTCTTTTGTTTAAGTGACGAGAAGCTCAAGTGCTGGTTTGGCCCAGGATGATGATCAGACACCAGGCACAAGTCTCAGCTTCCGGGATTCGGCACTGAACTCTGGGGCAGGAGACCGAGAGCAGGAGACCCTTGCAGATTAGCAGACCATAGCAGACCCTTTGGGGTCCAGTTTGTGCCACGGAATCCCATCGTATTATTCTAATGGGTTGGACTTCTTGCAGTTTGGAGATGGGCCCTCCCCCCATATGTCAGATTGAGACCATAATATTGTATCCTCTTGATCTGAGGTCAACAGATGAGCTCTCAAGATGAGAGCGACTACGAGTACGAGGAGACTGCTTGGAGCAGAGCCAGAGCGAGCTTCGTTTCGACACTCCGAAACCGGCAGAGCATGGCATGCCCATGGCATGCCCGGCAGAGCAGGAGGTGGATCTCATGGATCTTCCCAGTTCAGCGCGAACTGAGCTATGGAGGTTGGGAAGGGACACAGATTGACACCCAACATGGCTACCTGGAGCGGAAACGCCCTCAACCAAGAGTTCAACTCGCTTTCCCCTTCGACGATGCCATACGATGCCTTCTAGGCTTCAAGAGCAGTTTGAGGAAGAGGCCAGGAACCAATAAACAGCTTTTAGAGGATTTTTGTGATGCAGTTTAACGATTTCTGCAGTCCATTTGCCATCAACAAAAAGCCAGGCATCCGTACTCCAGAACGATCTCATGGCCTTCGTGCGGCACCCGGTGGTATCTTGTATTGGCATCTTGGAGCTGAAGTGAATTGCACTTACATGGCCTCCAACTTACTAGCGATGGCCTCCAACCTAATAGCGCCTCGATGGCCTCCTGAGGTTCACCAGATGCTGCAATCCACCTCCCATCGGGAGCGCCTGCAGATCATGCGAAGTGCACTGATGCAGGAGGAGCCCTGAGCGCATGCGCAACGCATCGGGGCGCGCGGCGCACGCCTGGTGAGCGTGGTGTGCCTTTTTGGAGCAAGGTCCAAGCCCTCAACAGTGTTGGGCCTCCCAGCCAATGGGGCCAGCTACTGTACTTCAGAGTTCCCTTCATCATACTCATACTCATCATAGAATTCGTATGATTTTTGCTCATCCTCACACTCTCATCTAGCGTTGGTATTGGTACAAGGACCGGATTTTGCAGATGTTTGCACGCACAACTGAGGTGTTGCTGTTTGTTTGCTGTGCCTCCCTTTGAAACTGATGAATCAATAGCCTTGAAGGAGGCCAAAAAGACTCCTGGCCTCCAGTCATTTCCACCTCGGGCAGCACTTCACATCTTCCTTTACAAACAACTGACATAGAAAATCCGGCTGGTAAACCAATGAAGGAGAATCATCTTCCGCGCCCTTCTCCATTTTGGCCGATTAAAGGGAAGAACATGTGTGTTGTAGACATTTGTAGACACATTTTTTTGAAAGCCTTGGACCGACCACCGTCCTTGAGCCACACTGCCAGGAGCGGCGTTTGGCCGTCCGAAAGGCCTTGCAATCAGCCCGGGGCTCCCGGCAGAGGGGCCGCCTGGGGTCGGGCGGATGAAGAGGTGATCATCCTTCAAGGAGCCAGACATACTGCAAACCTTTGAACATAGCAAAAGCGTTCTCAAAAGGAAGCCATATTCATTGAAGTGCTATCAATGCAAATTGAAGAGACGGATGAAGAGACGTCGCACCGAAGATGATGGACTGGCCCACTGGCCTGGCCCATGGCTGAAGTCGCTTCGATTCCCTGAGCTGAGGTCATGATGGCCCCCTCCGAGGACCGGCATGTTTGGTTTGGACTGGTTCGAAAAGATGCTTAAATGAGAAGGTCGTAGCACCATTATGTGTATATAAGTCTCATGATGTCTCATTATGTCGCAGGCAGACATTTGTTTGGTCTCTGGATTTCTCATGACCTGTTTTCTTCCTGTCCTTCTTGCTAGGAGAAGGACTAGATGATCGTGCGACACTAGCAGCTCGAGCACACACTTGGCCTCTAGGAGGGGCCTTCCTTGACTCTGGCGAAAGAGACATAAAGAGATATGAGACTTGAGACAGCAAACCAGCCAAACCATCTTAAAGCGTCCGGCATCGGGAGCAAAAGAGTGAACCCAATCACAACCTGCAGGACGGCATCGAGAAGGCATCTCCACGTCCCACCAGTTCCGCCCCGGCTGTCCTAGCCGTGCCCCGCGCCGCAACGGGCGCACGTCGGGCGGCGAAGAAAAGGGCGCAGAAAGAGCGCTGGGGAAGACAAGGGACGACCAGCGACGAGAAACGAGATCGGAGGAAGCGACCTACTTGGAAAGCGGGGCGCAGCGCACCATGGCTGTTGGGCCATTGGGTTTTGGTGAAGCATAAGATGAGTGGTGCAGGCACATTTAGGATCATTTAGGCACCACATGCGTCGTCGACACAGGGAAACTTTTTAAACATTTTGACGGATCGTTGATGGGTTTCTTGACAGCATGTGACTGCTTGCGGAACTTCACAGGATCGAACCAACGTGAACGGCAGAGAGCGTCGCACGGGTCGACCTGCGACAGTTGGCGATTGCATTACACGAAGCGCATACGCTTCGTGGTGACACATGGAGACGAAGCTAGGCGGGGAATGGCGGAGAAGGAGGGTGAAAACAGACTTGACTTTTAGGGCTTACATAATCTTACATTGGTCGCATGGCACAAGATGACATGAAAACAACATGATACAAAATCACTATGCTACATAGTAATTCGGCATATCATTCTGTTTTCATACTCGGAAGCCTTCCCCACATGAATGTCATATTTGACATCAATGAAGACCTGACTCAAAGACGAAGATGGGCCAAATATATATAATAATTGAGTGGACTTCGAGGTGAATAAGTACAGTACAAGTTTTGCAGGTACGGTATGTGAGCCTGTTGCAACGTTGTCCTTTTTCACTCGGGTCTTGGTCTGAGAAGTGTTGTTTTCAGGCATCCTATTTGAGATAGAGTCTAGGGGCGCAAAAGTAAACAATACAGGTTGGACTTGCAGTAAGCCCCGTTAGTAGCTAGCAGCTAAAGCAGTGTCCAGTAGCAGATGCAACACAGAACTGGTACCCTTATAGGCAACGGCTAACAGAGGAAGGGTGGTGTCATACTTCCATCCTGAGTTCTCAAATACGGAGGATCAATGTTATCAGTTGATTGGTGATCAACTTTGTTTTTCTATGTACACTCACGAACACCTTGTTCGTTCCTATTTATATCCATGGCCCTGTCCTTCCGGGCCACAGCGACCAACCGGACCAACCCTGGGACCCTTTTCGTCCCCAAAAACGCGCCTCGCGAAGATGAGCGGACGTCCTCAACGAGTGCGTCGGTCGTGTCCAAAGAATCTGGCAGATCCCTCCTGCGAGATGAGCCGATCCCGCTCCTTCCGGAGGTGGTGAAGTTGGAGGCGACAAAGGTTGATGTGCCTTTTGGGACCACCGGATGTTTTTGGTGCTTTGATACTGATATTCAGTTCAAGCGGAAGACACATGGTGTGGCCATCAAAGGGATCAGTTCAATTGCCCATCAGCATTCAGCATTCGTTTGCTTTTGGAGAAGCTCCAAAAGCCCTTGCTGGTCAGGTAGCTGTGGGCAGCGTGCTGCTTCCCTTGGCAGGCGTGTTGAAAGCCTTTGTGGATGCTTCTCCGGATGACAGGATCTCTGAAACACTGGCCGCAATGATCTTCAATGTCTTTCTGCATTTGAAATCTTGGGCTCGGGATAGGGGGAGGCCAGTGAAAGACTGCAGTGGTATCATCATAAAGCATACAACCATGTTAAAACGTGTTACTGTAAGGCTACAAAAAAGAAACCTCCAAACTTGATTGCAATTGCACTTGCACACTTGCACTTGGAACATGTCGGTAAACCTTGGAGACCTTGTCGACACACCGTCTTGCTCGATGACTTGAAACTCGACAGGTGTCCTGCGGGAATTCGGGCATTTGCCACCCAAGGAGGCCCAATCTGAATCAATAAATCAGAGACTGGCTGTTGGGCCGGTGGAGGACCCCACGAGTGAATCGTTTTTTGCGATTTGTGTTCAGAAAAACATGAGAATCATCCGTTAAAGAGGCCTCAAAGCTTCAAAGCTCTGTTCATAAGAGGCCGAACAAAGATCTTGCAGACTTTTTCTTCCTGCGAGGTTGAACAGAGACTGCAGGAAGAAATGGATCAACTGCAGCAAGAGGCAAGACTTTTTGGACACATTTATCAATTTTGTGTACGATGGCTCTAGAAGATGGCTCCTTATGAGAGAAATGCTTGTAACGTATGAAGTGCCGTTTCAATGGTGTTTGTTTCATGTACTCTTGGAATATGTTTGATATAACGCATTTTTGGTGCAGCCAGGCATGTAGAACCAGAGAGCGGGCATGTTGTGTTCGGAAGGGCGGACCGCGGTCTTCGGGCGGACCGCCAGGCAGCTCCATGTAGGTTGATGGTGTTCAGGTGCCGAAGTTGGTGCATTCTGGTGCTCATGAAAGCAGCAGCACGAGAATCTCTCCAGTATGAGTCAGTGGAGCAACTGGAGAAGCACCATCATCCTTGGAAATATCTCCCCTGGCAGGCGCAGTTTGCTCAAGATCGGAGACTGGTGGAGTTGATCTTCCGGAACCGAAGACACGGCTTCTTCATTGAACTGGGTGCATCCGATGGGAAGACGGGTTCAAATACCTATGCTTTAGAGATCGGCAACAAATGGTCTGGTCTTTTGATTGATGCTTTCGAGCATGAGGACTGCAAGAAGAATCGGCCCGGATCGACCTGTGTGGAAGCTTGTGTTGCGGGCAGTGAGAAAGCCCGCGTCATACTTGAGAATGGTATGCGGAGTGTCTTGGTGGAGTTCCTGAACGAACATATGAACTTCACACCTTCTCTCCGAAATTGCACGACATTGCCGAAGATTCTCAAGAAACACAAGGCTCCACGCAGGATCGATTGGCTGAGTCTTGACGTGGAAGGTGCTGAACTTGAGATTCTGCGGCCCCTCCTGGACGAGCCAGCTTATTTGGTTGATGTGATTTCACTGGAGACCTGGCCTGGGAATAAGGAAAAGTATGCCGAGTTCATGCACAGGCGTGGCTACCGACTCATGGAGAGACTTGGCCTTGATGACGTCTACGTGCGGGAATGGAGCTCTGATCAAGCCTATTGCAAAGAGGCTTCCGTTTCCAGCTCTCTGCAAACCACCGTGCGAAATGCACTCCTTATCATGGGCTCCAGCCGCCAGGAAGGGGATGCATGGAAAAGCCTCAAGCGGGCTCGAAACTCCTCAAGAGCAGTGCTGGAACGCGTGTCACGGCTGGCGAGAAAGAAGGATTGCAAGACTGGGGAGCTGAGCATTCGATTGTTGAATTTGCTCTTCGACACAACGGACCAGTTCGTGCAAGATGTGTGCAGTGGTATCGGTTTGGAGGGTGAAGAGATACTTAACTTGGTACACCCAATGCACCCTTTGGACAAGTGCTCACCTTTCTTCAGCTTATCATTTAGCAGGATGAGTTTCTTAGCCTTGGTTCAATCTGATTGGCCAATCTTCGACTTGCTTGACATGCTCGCCACGAAGATGTATCAGAAGACCTTTGGACCTTTACAAGAATGTGCTGCCTTGGGCATTGAAGTCAATGCTACAGTTCTGCAATATGCGGACCATATCCGTGGTCAGAGCATGATTTGTGGAGCGTTCCACAGCGCAGTGAACTGCCTTCAGAGAGCTTTGGCCTCAAGTCCCAGCGACGGGACCTTTTTCCAGCTCATTCAGCAGGCTGAAAGCAGGTTAAAGGGCATCGCTTTACAGATGCAGGTTTGGGATCATTTTGCGGTGGCTGGACAACTTCGCAAAGAGGAGAACCCATACCGCTTGCTGAGCCAACTGCAACGTAGCTGGTTGACCTATCGCTCCTCTAATCCAGAGGCCCGGCTGGTCACAATGTGATCTGAGAGGAAAACACCGGCTGCAGAGAAGGGCCTGTATTGTGCTTCAGATATCATGGTCATGAGTCATGTGTCATGCCGCGCCTGTCAAAGATGTCAGATGTCAGAGAGGTTGGCTCTTGCACACGGTTGTGTGGTCACAGGATGCTAAAGGCAGAATGTCCGTTGCCTTTTGGATGTTTGGCATTTCATTAGCACCCAGCTTCCTGAAACGAACGCCAGCCCAAGAGTATGCGACCTGCCAAGTTGTGGTTAAATCCGGCGGACGTTGATTTGAGGGGCAGAAAGCACCTGGAACTGGGTTCACAGTTACAGTAGAGTTCATACATCTTTATCTCCGCTCTTTGTGGCTGGTGCTTGTGTGACTTGCCGCAGGCGGAACGAAAGAAGGCAAGTCCCTTAGATGGAAGCCTCCTCGCATGCTTTGGACTGACGAAAGATGGTTTTGGTATGTTTTGGTAATAGAATGGAACAGGCTGCGGTTGGTGAGCACTTACACTTACACCTATTCAAGAAATATGTGGACGAAAAGACTGCACCACATGTTTTGCAAGAACCACATTTGTTTTTCACAATGTCTTTGGCGTTTCAGTAAATCCCACTCGCTTCCTGGTCAAGTACTCTAGACATGCTCCTTCCTGTGCGCAAGAAATGCGTGACGCGCAGAGGATCCTCTTCGCCTTCGCCGTGCAGCCGGACCCATCAGGCTGTGCTGTCAGATGTGGGGCTGACATGGGCAGATGACTTTTGAAGAAACGGGTTGGACACAAAGTCGGTGGTGCTAGTTTCGGTTTGGTCGCATGATTGTTGTTTGGATATGTTTGAGGAGAGGACCACCTCAGAAGTTCATGAATGTGGTAACCTTGAACGTGTTTGAATGATATTCCATCACCATCAAAGAGGCCTGAATGGCTTGGTTTTGTTCGCAATGTCAGAGGGATGATTGATGATTTTCATGTCGGATCATGCGAGCACCGAGCATGAGTGTCATCAGACAAAGACCGGAGCGGGATCAAAACTGACCTGCGCCAGCCAGATAGCAATAGTGTCCCTACTACTTAGGCTTGGAGGGTTACGGCTTAGGAGGATTTGTGTATGTTTGTGTTCTTAACACACACACACAATGGGAATCACGACAAGCACCATTCATCTGTCTTTCCAGGTATCAGTCAGGCAAAAGAAGCGCAGTGTTACCAGTTGTTGTTGTAGTGTCTTGTTACTAGGGCCTGGCCATGCCAGAATCCCATAGAATCCCCTGTAGCTTCTTGCTCCGTTCGTTGCGATACCCTCGTTACTAGATGTTACTAGTAGTCAGGCCAGCAGCTACTAGTAGCTTCTTGTTCCTAGTAGAAAGGGTATTCCCATGGATTCCCCATCCTTCCTGGAGAGCAATGAGAAACCACCGGGTCCGCCTGTCCTTCCAGCTCTGGACGGCCCTGGCGAGAGCGGCCTTTGGCTCATGGCCTGGGCATCCTGGTGACGGGACCGGAGAGAATTCGGTGGGTTGAAGTGAGATTAGGTTAGGGCAGGTTGGAGGCCATTGCTTCTAGAAGTGGGTTGAAGTGAGGGGGTGCCGGATTTGGCTGACCTTCCAAGCATCCATGTTCTTCGGATGGAGGAATGGGATTGGCACCGGGTCAGCGGCTCAGGCCTCGCGGAGCATGCGCTGCCGGAGCCCCGACGTTGGGCCTCGTGAAATCAAGCTGTTTATTTAGCGCCCAGACTGAGGCTGATGGTCTTAAGGCTCTGTTGACCAAGCGAAGGAGTGCTTTTGAAGTTCATATTCTGGTGCTGTGCCTTTGTTGCCTGGAAAGCTCAGGTTCGGCACGCACGACCGTGCAGCAAAAGTCCGGGCGATGTTTCCATCGTTTCGAGGATCCGGAACCAATATGGGATAGTAACAAATAGCTATTAGTAACAAGTGCATCGCTAGTAGTAACAGGTGCATCGCTACTAGTAACAAGAAGCTAGTAGAAACAAGAAGTAAAGTTAAATTAAAAAACTAGTATATAGATGTATATAGTATATACTAGCTTCTTGTTTCTACTAGTAAGGCGCTTGTTACTAGAAGCGATGCACTTGTTCCTAGTAGCTTTTTGTTAGCACAAGTCAAGGAGTTGTGGATTCTAGATTCTACATGCCGCATAGAAGTGGAGCAGATTGGGCACAGGACAGTGCCTTGTGATGCCTTGATCCAACCTGAATCCGCAACCTTTCTCCTTCTTGCAAATGTTGGCCTCCAGCGTTGGCTGAGAGATTACCAAAAGAGACGGCAGCTCATCCACGCATCAGTGTGTTGGCCAAGAAAGCCGTGGAAAGCGCATAAGGCAATACGTGATGACCTTGCCAGAGGGGTGGCAGTCCCATGCATCTTGCGATCTCGCCCGGCCATGGACTCCGATTGCCACATTCGGCAAGGCGAGTCTTCGATTGATCAGACGCCTTCATGCAAGTGTGAACAATGGAAAGCAGGCTACAAGGAACAAGCAACATATACTACTATACTACTCCTCCTGAATAAATACACAATTATATAAATCAAACGAATTATAGAAATCACGATACTACTCCCGAGTAGATTCATACCACTTGCTTGCAACATTGCAGGCTCCTTGTTGGTCTTTGTTGCCTGTTCCATTCCAAACTTAGTATATATAACTTGCAGGATTCAGCATTGCCTGAGTGGTGATCCACAAGGGTTTGATTCTCAATCCTGTGCATGTTTGCAAGGCCCCACTGTTTATCGGAGAGCCGTCCATGCGCGAGGGGAAGGTGGGGGCTCCAGCTCAATCTGAAGCTGGAGATTCGCAAGAGCAGTTGAACATGAACTTATCCAAATACATCCAAATACAAAGACAAAGATGGCATGTGATGGCATGAAGATCAATTGTCGTTTGTTTCGTGGCTATTTTGACTCCTCCATCTTCTCGGCTCAGACATGAATGCCCAACCACGTGCCATCCGCCGGCACCGGCACACGCGGCCCGTCACGGCGCGGCCCCGGGGCCGCCCGCCACGGCTCTCTCCCCGCTGCGGCGGGCGGCCGGCGGTGACATGGTGAGTAGCCCCGTGGCCCAGCCGGTGGGCTGCGCGTGTGAACTGGAGATCGACGTGCAAGAGATCGAAACAGTGGCCTCTGAGGTGGTTCTTTGTGGCGGGAAAAGGATGGGAAACAAGGATTACCATTTGAAGGGGACTGGTCGTGCTTGGGTAGCGGTGCAAAAAACTTTATTTTACATTCTTTGCTACAGTGCGACAAGTTGTGAGAAGCTTGAGATGTGTTCATGGACCCGGGACCATCAACCGGGATTCTTGGATGTCGCTTCGAAGGGTGTGATGACACAGGTCGCCACTGAGTCGTCTATAGCTACTAGTAAGCAGTATACGCATGAATATGCACGAGCGCTCATCGAACCAGGCCCCTTCCATCACGACCATGCAGTTTATTCAAGAATTTGCTGCGGAGCAAGTGGCCCGGATGGAGGTGACTAGGCGAGGTTGGGAGCCTTCCAGTTTGTGGATCGCTGAGCCGGAAAGGAATCTCTCAAAATAAGATTGGCAGCTGGCAATTACTTTATTTGAGGAAAGCTACTTTCTTCATGTTTCTGTGCTTACATGTCTCTCTATGGCTTTCAGTTAGAAAAAGCTGGGGGGAACGCAGTCTTTGAACTTCGATAACTCCGGCGAAAGCTCTGGAGAGGCCTGAAGTCCTTCGGACGGTGCCAGCTTACGTTGCCTTCCAAAATGGAGCAGAAGCACTGCGCGCTGTACGCCTCAAACCGCACTGGTATGAACGATCCTCGGTAGAGAAATGGGGAGTAGGGTGCGTTGTGGAAAACTGCTTCTAGGATCTTCTAGGTCCATCCCCATTTTGGGGGTAAAGGAAGGGGGGCTTCCGGGCTTCTTGTAAACCTCACGTCCATGAAGCAACATTGCGCCCTTTTATGGGATCAACTCCGATCTCCTCATCCTGTCGTGGTTTCATTCTTTCACCGGTGCCAGGTGGTCTAGACTGGCAGGTCTGGCTTTTTCATCGCCTTGAGGCCCCTGATATCTCAAAGACAAGTCCCAGTGCCCCTCCTGGCACTGGACTCCTTTGGCTTCGCCTTTCTTGGCGCTTGGGTCCGGTCAGGACTGACCAGGCGACGGTATCGATGAACCCAGTGAATGCACTTCGATTGGATGGGCTAGGTTGGAGGTATTGATCTCTCTTTGTCTCTTTGTGTATATGTATATTATTTGTCTGACTGGTGCTTAGAATCCAAAGGAACAGTTTTGGGGGTACCGCTATCAACTGATGGCTAGTCACTAGGTAATGATAATGCCAGTTGAGTACCGTAAACATTCGCTTACCAACATGGTCACGCTCCCGGCACCAAGCGAAGGCGAGACTGCACACACTTGTAGCATAGTTCTGCCATGTTCTGCATGTGTAGAGACTTGATGTTGTTTCATGTCGTTTCTATTCCGTTTGGTCAAACTTCCAAGGAAGTTCCATGAGCCAGTCGATTGGAGCATTTTGGTCTCATTCATGGCACGGGGAGCGCTGGCAGAAGATCTTTACGCTCATGGTCCTGTACAACGGCTTGCGCCTAGCCTGGCAGTATGGTGATGACCGTTTTTCCGATTCCCTGAATTCCTTTTGCATGTTTTGGCATGCGGAAAACACAAACTCTCTGGTGGCTAGCCCAGCGTGTTGAATTCAAGTTTCGCAACCGCAACCCAAGGCCTGCCATTGTCTTCGGACTCTTGGCTTCCTACCTGTCGGTGCTCCTCTTTCTGTGCGACGTGCTGCCAGGTGTCGAAAGGATTCCAGACAACACCATGTCCTTCTCTACCTGGTCTCTAGTCCCTGTGGCTTCAAAGAAGGGATGGCGGCCTCCAAAAGAAACATTGTGCGCCAGGATATGCCGGGAGATTCTAAAGTCAACTGCAATCACCTTTCATCCCCCTGAAATTGCCGAACTGGGTTGGGTTGGCAGTACGTGCCCCACCTTGAACTTGAGGTCGGACTTGAACGCAAGCGCAGCATGAAGACTCGGACCCGAACGCGGCATTCGCATGCAACATTCAATAACATTCATCAGGGTCACACAACATCTTGGGGGTTGCCTCTTGGCCTCCTGAAGCGAACCAGCAGACAGATCTAGTCTAGTCTAGGCATGTCTAGGCCCGGGAGACGCGCTTGGGGACAAGCCCTTTCTGAAAGACACACTTGCATCGATCACCTGCTGGATTTGAAAACGAGTGAAGACATGTCTGAAAATATTTTTCCATCAACCTTTGCACCAGTGGGAAACGACTTTCAACAACTGGTCCATTGTGGCGATCTGTGGCTGGCAGTACTCGATGAAAGGGAATGCACCCACTGCTCTGAGCACATCGAACGCACCGAGCAGTTCTGCTCACTGATTGATGCCTTGGGATTTTTTGTGTCTTGCGTTGCTCCCAACCAGATCCTGTATACAGTAGAATCCAGCTCGCGTACACCAAAGAAGGCATCCTGTTTGTTTCAGTTGCCATGAATGGAGGCCACGTTTCTGAACTCTCCCTCACTACAGCAAGTTCACTTCGAATTCCTGCTTGAGTTGCAAGCAGGGTTTGGGCTCCGAAGAGCTTGATGATTGGGCTCCGAAGAGCTACTGTAAAATTCACTGAGTGTGCCACCCCGAAATCAACAGCCTCAAAAGAAACGTGGCTTTGCTGCCCGGAGCTCCACAAACTCCCAAGTCGACACGGAAAAACGCCACAGATGGCAGGGAGATATTCCACACAGGTGAACCAAAAGCGCAAAAATCGAATTCTTGGGAGCTCTGGGTGAATGAACATGAATGAGCTATATATATATTATATATATATAGGGTTCTTCTTTCGTGATTTGAGTGGCATAACGATGTAGTGCGATGATTGTGCCCAGGATTTTTCGATACAAGTCTCATAATTTAACTATGACCAACGGACCCATCTGCAGCTTATTGCAGCTTATCTCATGGTATTCCTGAAGAGGTCACTGAAGAGGTCTTACAGGAACCACCGTTTTAGGCGCAGTGACTTTTTGGCCGATTCAACACACAGCGCCCAGCGCACATTGGGCGCACAAGGCGCACACTGGGCGCACAAGGCGCACACTGGGCGCAAAAAGTGTTCACATGTATTCACATGTGTTCACTAAGAGGCTTCATGTTTCACTGTTGTTCGAACATGCCTCGTCTGGGCTTGTTGAGAACCGACGACCTCGGTCTTTGCCCCCCCCAAAAAGCTTTGCCAGTCTGTTCCCCGGATCTCCGTTCGGTCTGAGCGAGCGCCTGCGAGCCGTGGTCTTCAGGTCTCCGGATCCGTGGTCTCCTTCGTGGTCTTCGTCTCCTGGCGCTCCAGAGAGCGGGTGTTTTTCGACCGGGTTTGTCTCCACCAGACCGACCAAGATTTGAAAACGGCCGGGATTTTGAGCCTGGCCGGAATTCTCCGGCAGTCCAAGACCATGCTGGTGCTCTGGGATTCCACCTATAGCCATCGTCTTTGGTGCCTTTTCGAGTTCGCAGCATTCCTGAAGAGCGCTGAGATGAACTCGAACGTGTCTCGGGATGAACTCGAATGTGGACGTGTCTCGGGATTCGTTCGTGTTCTCTTTTTGCTCACAAGTCTAACCCCCTCGGCTGTTTGGACATGGAGGCTCCAATCTTCTCAGGTTTTAATCATCAAGCCGACCTTCATTGGGCCAACGGCCATCTTGACCTTCCTTGGCGCACTCGTGGGTCTTCTTCCGATGACGGTTGCTCCCATTGATCAGCTTTTGCTGTTACCTGCGGTGGGATTTGTGGTGCTTTTGGGTCTGGGGCAGTACTTTGCATGCACAAGCCTCCGGAGCTACTTTCGAGCAGTAGATGAGATGCAAAGGGATTTGCGACACATGCGTCTCTTGGACTAAATGTGGTGTCTTTGTTTGGTTTAGATGATACTTTTGAACACAGGGCTAAGTAATCCCAATGCAAAGAATAGGAAGGACACATGAACTGCATGTTTTGACGTTTTGATTATATATTGTTGCCGCTTGTCCAAGGCGCAGACGAGGCCAAATGTTCTTGCTGCACTCAGGGCCATGTCGACAGCGAGGGCCAAGCGTTGATTTGTGATCGAGAAGTGGCTTTGTTTGAAAACATTTGATATTTAAAGTGACCCCAACATGGACTGGCTACGACCCCAACATGTTCAGCTTGGTGTTTTCGATGTCCGGAGAGTCACAACCCTTCTCTAGTCTAAGGCCTCCAACCTAGTAACGATGGCCTCCAACCTAATAGTAATGGGCTCCAACCTACGGGTCTTTGGAAGATCATGGCATGGAAGATCCAATATTTTTTTCTTGTATTTTTCAAGATTTTGAGTTTCACGATCTTGAGAGGGGAGAGTCCTCTGGATTGGCTTCTGCGTTGGTTCACGTCTCCCGAACTGTGCCAGGTCGTGCAAGAGTGTATCCGCGTATGGTTTCGAGATCAAGGGCGTTTCGAAGAGCATATACAGACAGAAGTGGTGGAGGTGGGTCGAACCCTGAGACGATGACAGGAACGACATCTACTGAACCATGGCATGATATCAAAGGACGAAAAGACATGATATCTCGTTTGAACTTGTTACTCATCGTTTCACATACTTTGCCACCCACAGACACCATACTGTTGAGTGGCTTTGTTGCTACTGACTTCGGCCGTTTCCCAAGCAGAAGTTATTCAGCAATAGATCAGCGTTTAGTGTACGATCTGGATTTTCCAAGGCGGCTAAAAAGCCTTGCCATCCCTGAGGTACTGGTGTACAATCTTCGGTGTCAAGCCTTGCCATACCGGTGGCGTGTGGCAATCAGTACCCCTGCCTTCTGGGCTTGCCTGGACCTTGTGGCCAGCTTGTACAAGAATGGGATGATTGAAATGGCAGTGGAATGGCTACTCCTAGGCTTCATGCTTTGGCTCTTTGCTGGTCCTATGGTGCTGAGCTGGTTTGTCTTTCTGTGCCGTCGCTTATCGACGAAAAAGAGACTTGATCTATTGCAAACCTTGGCCGTGATCTTTGGAGTGATGCCGTTAGTCGTGGTCTTGGCAGGCTTCTTTGTCTACTTGCAAGTGACCATGGCAGATCCGTTGCTGCGGGCAGGTCTCTTTGCTATTGCTGTGTTTTGCTTCAGTCTGGCGAGCTGGTGTTTACAAAGCTCTGCGCGTTCCTTTCACAGCAAAGTGAAGCCCCATCCTGAGACCTAAGTTTTACACTCCTTCTGAGTCCTGGCCGAGAACGCCAAGGATCCAGAATTCGCACCGAAGAACCCTCCCATCGAAGTTACTGTTTCTGTGTCCCAATGTTTTCTGAGGGTTTATATCATTTATATCTGAAGCAATGAGTCAGTGCTTGCAGTGCTGGCACCTATAAGTCCGGGTTGGAGATGACCCGAAGATGCCCCCGAAAGACCTTTACAGGAAAACAACTTTTGGTAGCAGACACTTACGAACTTCTCAGCAATCAAGATTGGCATTCTCCAGTCGAAGCGAGGGCCCTTCGACAGGTGCTGATCTCTCAGATCTCTTAGTTCGACCTCTCTTCAGAGTGTACTCCTCGTCGGCTTTTCCTCCCTTCAAAGAAGGGAACTGTTCATCGTGCGGGGAGCTTATTTAGAGACCAGCTTTCTTTTCATGGCAGAATGCGCCGAAATTGGATGTTTCACCTCCGATTGCGGGGCCCGATGTCAAGAAGAGCTGACTTGAGCAGTGCACCTCCCACTCGTCCCACTGTAGTTAGTAATTAACTGTGTTTGAATCTTTGCAAGTCTGCCAGTTTTACCGATAAGAACTCCATGCTAGTATGCGCACACACTCACATATATATATATATATATACTACTGTCTAATGACTTAGGCCAACGTGATGCAAGTGACATACCAATCTGGCTACCCCCAGGGCTAAGTCATGTGCCCTGACATATCGAGCTAAAAAAAAGGTCTGGGTTGGGAAACCTGGTGTCATAGGACCTGTGGACACCTCCTCGACAAAAAATGTAAAAACACAGCTAAATAATGCTAGATACCACTGCCTGGCACCCTGGTGACACAGTGGTGACATAGGGTGCGACTATGTGTTCTTGCGGGCGCTGTTTCCTTGAATACCTCATACATATTTCTATGAATATCATGGTTGTGGCCTGATGACATAGGCCTTAAGAGGAAATGCCAATGTTGGATCAATCTTGATGACATAGGCTTTTGGAATTGGCGCGTATGTCCGACAAGTCCTAAGTTACTAGTCAGTAGTATATATAGAGATGCAAGATGTGCATGTGGCTCACCCAAAGACACAAATAATAGCTGGTTCTTCCCCGAACAGGTTACTCTTGGATGATCTCTAAAAAAGCTGGCCACAGTGTGTGGCGACATGACAAACTCTGTATCTTCCGGGTGTCCTAGGGTGTTTTGAGTCTGTGTCCGTACTCGTCCATGATCGTCCATGCTTTATCCAGGTCGTGCCTTTTGTGCCCGGTTGTCCTCTTGTGCTGTTAGCTTCGTGCTGTCGTTCCAAGGCTTTCTTGTACTGCTTGGAGGGGCTCGGGGGCTGGGGCGCTGATGACACGAAGTATTTGGCAGCTGTGCCCACAACAACTGCTGATGAAACCTTTTGGGATCATCTATGCTTGTATGATCTTCCACCAACAGTTTCATTTTTGAGACCAACTGACAACGCATATACTATTGAATATTATATATAAGTTATATTATACTCTATATGATTGGCGTCCTTGCTTCGATAGTCTTTTTGTGCATAGGGCACAAATTTTCAAGGCTGGAATGCTGGGTGAAGCAACACCTCGGGCATCTGGAATGCTTGCGGGTGGGTCTTCAACGAATGCATTGGCATTTTTCTTCCAAACTGCGGGAGTCGAACGAGCACGTCGAACGAACAGAAGCTGTGAGGACATCCTCTACCTCGGCGTTGTCCATCTTCGTGAGGCTGGGTTCTGTGAATGCGGATGTGTTCTTCCCACTCAGTCAGGCAGTTCCCAAACCCATGTTTCGTTTCCTACAAGCTATTGTTGACCAGCATCCGAGAGGCTTTTGTACATGAAGCACTACGAAATGTAGCGAGAGAAAAGAGGCAAAGTACCTGAAACTACGAAGATAGGATCCATCGAGCATTAAGTGTACAGAAAGTATACAAATCAGCAAAGAGAAGGACATTGGACAAGCAAACCCTACGTGCAAGATCATGAAAGCTGCAACATCGAAAAGGGCCACGTACCTGATATATAGAGGAACTGAAGCGAGACGCCCAATGCTCTTTTTCCTCACAACAAAACCATGTGTTTTGGGTGTTGGTCAAGTTTCGTCACTCGATTGATGCCGTCTCCAGGTCAGTACCTTTACCCTTGCTGGCATCTTGGAAAGGTGCGATTTGACTGAACAGACGAGAACAGACGAGAAGGAATCGCCGACAGCAAGCCGTCCAAGCCGTTTTCCATAACGCAGATGGCTTGGAGATGCTTCCCAAAGGATCCATGTAAGCAAATATGGCCAACATTGAGGTGGTTTTCGGTGACCGTTGGTCATATGTGTCGTCCCGTGGATCATCTGCACGGCCTGGATCGCCGCGGGTTCTGCCAGGCCGTGAGGCGAAGAACTCTGCTCGCCGAAGAACAGCGCTGGGGATTTCCTGGAACCTACGGCTGGCGGTGTGGAAGGCCGAAAGACTCCGAACGAGGGCTGAACGGACTGTGCCACGTCGAAGGGCTCCTGGCCTCGGGGCTGAGGTTTTCATTCAGATGTCCCATCTTCCAGTCTAGCGAGAACAGCGGGTGTTTTTGGATGGTGGAGGTCAAGAGAAAACGGATTCCCTTCCTTTTAGAGGTGATCAAGATAAAGAACGCATGTTTCCTTTAGATTTTTGATCTAACAGGATGGGTGAGCCCTGATGTCCTCCAAATCAATCGACTCCCCCGTTTTTTGAAGTGCTTCCGAAGGGGAGACCAACCTACTGCAACACCTGCTCCCAGGCGCGGCTTCATCGATTCCTCCGCGGGCAGTCCAGAAAAACGCTGCAGGTCGGGCAGATTAAACTCCATCCTGGTTCACTGGATTGTGCGAGACAAGTTTTTGGGACAAGCTTATGATTCTTTCCAATCTGGAAGAGATGTTGGCGCATAATGCAACATCTCCCAACATGATCCTGACTGGGTTGCAACAGATCTTGTGCTTCTCTTGATACCTCGCTTCCGGTTTTTCAGACGGGTGACCTTGCTTTAGCCTGGCTTGACCGAGTGCACGGGCTCGTCTCACGCCGCAAGGGCTTGCCGGAAGTTCCTGATCTCGACTTGAACGTGCTGCCTCCGGTCCTCCCCCAACGCCGGGCCAATGTGAGCGTCACGAAAAAGGCCAGGTGGGCTGGGATTCGGGGAAGAATTCGGAATTTCTGCTTACATGTTGCTGCAGATTGCAGACCCACAGGTGTGCCTTCTTGTTTGGCCATAGCCTTTTTCGCCCCACGAAGAAACATAGTAAAGGTGGGTGGGGTTGGAGAGATGGGTTGGGCAGCCATCCTTTCAGGTCTGGCGAAAGATCGTGCTTGGAACCCAGATACCAAGTAGAAGCTAAAGTGAACATCACCATAGCCTTATCGTCTTATTTGTATATTCTTGAATTTTTCCAATAAGATAGAAAGGCGAAAAGGCAACATGTGCGGGACTTTGACTCATTCACGGCCGCGCCGCTTCCTCCACAAGACCCTGAAGATGATCTTGTGCACCTTGCTTACTGCTTGTTTGTTTTCCTCTTGTCATCTGGTAGGCCCGGCAGTAAGTCCTGTGCTCTCATGCTGCTGTGCCTGGTGGTCTCGTGTAGATCCAAGGTATTGGGCCAAAGTTCGAGATCAGATGAGTAATCGCTTAAGTCAGAGACTCAGACGACCGGAAAATTGAGTCGCCGCCGGATTGTTCCAAGAAAGCTAGACGAAGTAGGGTATTCAGTATGAATTCCACACTCAAACCATCTCAAACCACATCTCCCAAAGGTGGATTGTTGGGTAGCCGTTGATGCCACGGAGTTGAGGGTATCCAAAAAGGACTCAACTTTAATGAAGTACATAAGTGGCTGACTCGTCTATGCATATGATGCCTGCAGACCTTGTCAAACCCTGGCCATTGGTCGTCATTAACTGACACAGTGTAGCAGCAGCACTAGCCATCCTTCGCTATTTCCTGGTTTTGGTCCCGCTGGAGGCAGTGCAGGAATTTGCATCATGCTACTCGTCGACTCGTCATGTTCTAGGGTACCTACACGTTCTTTTTGCGGGGCAAAATGCATGATGAGCCACGTGTCTTGACCCCCAAATTGGCTCAGGTTATATCAATGGTGACTCCAAGCCTTTGAAGGCGATGGGGTCGAGACTGGAGACCCCGATCAAGCGACTGGATCAAGCGATCTAGGCGGCGATTTAGCAGTTTTCACGTTTGCTCAGAGGCCATGTAGACCAGTAACAAGGGCATTACTACTATAGTAGCAAGATGCTACTAGTAACATCGAGCAATTACCGAAGACGGAAGATGCTGGCTCCGAGCGCCACCAGGTGGCAGTCTTGGGAGGTGGAGCCTTTGGAACGGCAATGGCAACACATGTTGTTGGGTAGCTCGGAGTGTCGGAGTGCCGAACGAAAAAATGACAGCGGTCGAAAGATAAAACGTTTCTTTTTTGGAGATGTGCGTTTGTCGCAGCCAGAGAGCCCCAAATCAGGCAAACGTTGTAGGTGTTTCGGTTGAGACCCTAGGCATCCCTAGGCATCCCTAGGCATCCCTAGTGTCCCTAGGCCTGAGATCAAAGTTTGACCAAGCGAAAGCTTTTGCGGCGAAATGCCACGGATGTTGGGCTCACACTTCCGACTGTCTAGAGGCGCGAAAGGGCCACAATGTCTTCATGCTCCTTCGAGACAAGCCAGCCGGTGCCCAGAGCTGCGGCGTAGAGCATGTTGTGTGCGGGATTTCTGCGAAACTGCGGGACCGACATAGAACAAGGGAAAAAAGGAACATAGACCAAGAGAGCAGGACTCAAACATACTCAAACCATTGCCTGTTGGCTCTTGCAAGGCGTATAGATGCGTATAGCATGAGTTTTGCATGTTTTTGCAGACCCACTTTGGTCTTCACATGTATGCTAGGGCCCTGGTGGCTTCGTTGCTGTGCATGTGTGGATATTGTAGAATTGCCGATGCACCTGAGGTGTGTAAATTCATGAACCGCAATCACATCAATCCAAAGTCTGGAGCTCATCAATGACCAAGTGTCTGTGTAGATCCGGTGGATGAACATCAACCCCTTTAAGAACGACGCACCAGGTGCCAGCTGAGTCAAATAATACTGTATTTACATGCATGCACGCATTTTCCCAGAAAGCTGAAAACCACGAAAACCATAGAGGGCAGGCATTCTTTCACAACAACTTTCAAAAGCCTGTCACCTTTTTTCCGAAGGGGTGTTTGATTCAGACATGCAAACGAGATTGGACGGTGGAAGGCATTGGCTTCACACTTGCAACGAAATACACGTGGATTGTCTGGTTTTGTGGGCACCTCTCAACGCTTGGTGCCCGCCACTTGGTTCTTTGCACTCTTTCAGATCCAACCCGGCACTGCAGAGTTTCTTCCGCGAGCTTCTAGCCATAGCGATGGCCTCCAACCCAATAGCGGTGGCTTCCATTCAGATAGGGATGGCCTCCATCTATCCTTTTTGCAGTGTTTGGCGCACCGATGGATGGTCCAAGCTCATGCATCACTTCAGCCTTGCCATGTATGCATCGTATGCCCAGATCTGGTGGCGTGCCGGAGACGCTGTGCGGTGCCCAGGTACTTGCGAGAGTTCAAATTGCCCAAGAACATTCACGCCACGACCTCCGCGGAAGTCCGGACCTTGGTTGAAGAGGTGAAACGGTCGGCTGCACGAGCCGGAACCGGAAACTGAGATGGGCACACCTGAAACAGGATGCGCTCGCTGATTGCGATGTGCTGATCCACGCTGTACCAGTCCAATCATCGCGAGAGGTGCTGCTCATGCGGGTTTGGACGCAGCATTGAAGATGGAGACTTGTTGGGCATGCTCAGATGATGCTCTGTCATTCATCCAAATTGTGCATCCGATCTTACCACGTTACGACTGGAGGGGTGTCTCACAAGAAGGCAGCACGCATCCATTTATCCAGCAAGGTGTGCACAGCCCTCTCCACGTAGGCTTTGAGCTCGGTGAAGCATCTGGTGCCCAAAGATGCACCCGTGGTCGCGGTCTCCAAGGCCCGACGGTTATTGGGCGAGAGGAATGAGGAATTCGGCGATTGCATTAGTAACACGAAGCTTTCCAGTAGTAATTAAGGACACTATTAGGTGGAGGCCATCGCTACTAGTAACAAAAAGCTACTAGTTAGTAGTAGCGATGCACTTGGCTACTAGTAGCGATGCACTTGTTACTAGGTCGAAGACTTTGTTGAGAGATGCGCACCGACTCAAAGAGTCATTAGTCATGCACCAAAGGAGTTGACTGAACAGAGTGGTTGTGACTTGAACTGCAGGATCTTCAGAACAGGACTTGGCTCCAGTAACTGTAGTAGCAGGGCTTAGCAGGGTCTTCAGAACAGCACCACTGGTCACCCTTGTGTATATGCAGATACATGATATGTTGTTATACGTAACACATACAATCACATACACATAAAGCACATATAATCACATAATATACATAATATAATATACGGTTGTATATTATAATATCATATTAATGCATAGGTTATGACGTAGACATATATTGCCATGTCCATCCATGTCCGGCAAACACATGACCTGCTCGGACTTCACGAGGGCATTGAGCTGGGGAGCAAGAAGCTCATGTGTGACGTCATCCCCGAGGCCGCGGAGCAAGAACAACTCATTCGGTTCCTAAGATAAGGTGCCAAAAGCAATCAAAACAATCAAGAATGGACCTATGAGGCCTCCTGTGTTCTGTGGATCAGAGTTTTTCCCTTTCATCTGCGAGTTCACGGTGCCGAAAGGGGGCAACATGACGAATGAGACTCTCAACCAGTCCCCCAGGGCCTCCCGTGGCACGAGAGTTGTGATCCACCAGGAGAATGTAGACGGTTTGTCATTCTGGAGACATGCACGAGCGAGACAAGCACCTTTTATCCCTATATTCCGATTAGAAAGTACGTACATGTATGTATTGATTGTTGAGTTGTCCTTTGGGCCCACGATCTTCCACAATTGGTGAACATGTGTACGTAATTTCTGTGACTGAGTTCTGGGTCTCACAGGAGAATTGGGACCCCCTGCCTCTAAACCCGCCTCTTTCAACATATGCTGAACCGTGAACATGCGTGGCATTCCATTGTATTGTTCAAACATGTTCAAACCCGGCATACTTCCCCACTGTGGGGCGAATATATTTTATGGCTTCCCCCGTTGGATTTCGGACGCGTCGAGGCGCTCGAGCGAGACGACCACCTCGGCGGCTCGGTGGTGGTCGTCTCGGGACCCTCCTTCGCCCAGGCCGGTGGATCGAGTGGGGGGTGAGGGGGGTTTAGGATGGTTTAGGTGAGGGGGGGTAGTTATGACTGATGATTGATATGTTTTGCATTCACCATGCTGGCGAAACCGAGACTGACGGAATAAATTTGAAGATGTCCTTGGTTTTCTCCGGCATTCATGTTAGCAAACTTGCTTCCTATGGTCCGACGGTCCTTCTTTATATGAGCAACGGTCAAAACACAGTATGTAGAGCAGAAGATGTCAGCCGCATTTTTTCCTTGAGAATCTACAAATCAGGAGCGATGGGCCCCCCAAAAAGCGATGCCCTGCCAGAAGATGATAAACATTGTCCAAGTGTATTGGTTTGTCACGTGTTGTTCCTTTCAAGAGCTTCTTGCTCTGAAAGGTAATCCCGTATGTAAGAAGCAACAGTCATCTCTTGTGGGGGCCAAACTCAGGGATTTCAATCGACACCCTTAGCCGCTTAACAAGCCTAAGTGATATCCCAAGCGATGCCCTCGATCATGCTAGTCCATCACTTGCCCACTGAACCATAGGGTGGTTTGCAAGCAACAAAGATGTTGTAGCAGCTTGGTGAATGCTCTCAGCTGCTTGCAAAGCTCTTCTAGTGTCAATGGAGCTTTGCTGTTGCCTTCAACTCGAGTTTTGTTTGTCTCCATTGAGTGCTCGTGCTCATACTCATGCCATACACTTGTTTGGTTGAAGATGCCCCCCCAATATGTGTGACGGCACAAGATTGAACAAGGAGTTTTGACAGCTGCTTTTGGTTCTATGTTCCTTTCTATTCATTCTTCCATATTCTTCCTATACTACCTCCTGCTGTCCTATGATGGGTTTTGCATAGGACCGACCTTGGCCAGGAGATTATGGACCGAAGACCCACCTCCGTGACTTGGAAGTGAAGCAAGCGAAGCCTCCCCGATCGACAAACCGCACTGTGCACTGGGCCACACTCAGGTAGTGGCCGCGTCCCAGTGTCCTGAAGCGGCTGAGAAGGTGTCAAGGCGGGGTCAGATGCAAAAAGCTTACGTCAAGCACCCCACGTGCGCTGACGTGGGCGAAGCGGTTGATGCAATACTTTAGCTTGACTGTTTCATGCACAATTCCTATCTCAACGTGACGTTGAATTTGACAGGTTCTGAGAGGAAATCTGCCTGCTTTGCACAAAGTAGATTAGGTGGATGATATCATCATGGCCTGGGTGACAGCTACAGACATTGAAATACCGTCTCTAGGCTGCTGACCTCGAAGTACTTCCGCGTGAGCAAGACTGATGACATTCTGGGTGTCGAGGTGGAGTGTCGAGGTATTGAAGAAAGGTTCACACGGAGGAGTCTCAAAGTGCCGGATCCGCCGTGACTTTGCAGTCGTGAAGGCACACAGTGGTGTTATTGTGTTTGATGTTTTTGTTCTCCAAGTTGACCTGGCTGACCTGGTGATACCATTCAACTCAAAGCTTCCAGCTTACTCCTTGTAAACTTGTACTAATATTTTCGCGCTGCTTGAGCCAGCTTTCGCAAGGTCGCAGGTGCTCTCAAGAATGTCCTAGCGATTGCTGCGGGTATTTGCGAAGTCGAGTCCTTGGTCTAGAAGATCGGAAAAGAATACCGTCTGGCCATGCTCTTGAAAGCAACTGTCCATTTTGTCAGCCACCGGACGACGCAGGAGAAAAACATCTACATTTTGTTATCCAGATCGGATTGGATGTATAGGGACCTTGAAAAGACTCCTGGAACGAAGGGAAATAGACTTGGTTGGGGGTCTATAAACTTATGTCTATAGTACATATTCTATTGTATAATATATGTATATATATTTTTATATGATGTGCGTTGTCACCCCTATGCAACCGAAGAGCTGACCAGACACCGACGCTCAGGGCCTGGGTCTTGGCACCAACGCCATGTCAGCGCTGGTCACGCAGGCGTCGGGGGTTCAAATTTGGGAGACGCAGGGGGCTTTTGGGAGACGAGGAAAGATTGGGACCGTTGTTGTGCAGATGTGCACTGCAAGAGAAGAATGTACTGCCCGTCAGTGTGCAGTGGACGCGTTTGGAGTTTGCCGACGTAACTCAGACCGAAAGGTGATCGTGTCCATCTCTTCGTGGAGCTCACTCCGAGTCTTTGTGCCAAGTAGCAGGGTCTCTGCAATTGGATCTATGACTTGAGGTAGGCACCGTAAGGTTAGCACTGCATGGATTTTGCGGAGAAGGTGGGGTGGAAGAAGGGGATGGCCAAATCTTCCGGTGCCTTCAATCTATGACTGCTTTGGTGGCTGGCGACAGGGCAATGCAGAGATTCGGTGGCTGGCGACTGCGATGGGTGCATTTCCTCAGTTCGAGAGGTGCGATGTGTTGCTCATTGCTGGGAATGTGCAGAATGCGACATTTGGACCTGCACGAAGCTTTGCTATGCCCTTGCCGCTTCCCAACCAGAGCCGCGCAGCTCATCAGAGCATATAAATACTTCAAGATACCCCTTCCAACCAGCATGACAAGTCATTTTGCGGGACCACCAACCAAGTGAATGACCAGTCTGCGTCCTTTCACCAAGGAGCCAAGCCTGAGACGTTGGCGGGACTCTCTGGTATGGGTTCAAAGCTTAGTGCACGGCCGAAAGAAGATGGAAAGAAAGAAGACATATCAATGAACAAACAGATCTTGAGATATGTAGAGGAGCATAACATTGGCATTGGAGGCCGTGTGGAAGACCTTGAAATCTTCACCAGAACATGTCAGAACCTAGAACCCTGAAACTGTCTCCTGTCTCCTGACATTTCTTCAGTTCCTTGTGTCAGTGGTCAAGCACATGAGATCGGCAGTGAAACCAGCTGTGACCGGTTGCGACGTTTTTGTCAGGCGACATCTTGTTGACATGCTTTGGGAGCCTCTCCCGGAACCGGAGCGTCGGAGTCCGCCTGGGCAAGGGAGATCCCTTCGAGGCGCAGAGCGCAAAAGGTCTCAAGACACAGCTGTGCAATGCGCATGGAGACATCTTGGAAAGGCCTAACTGCTTGAGACGGCAGCCTAAAACAGAAGGCCGGGCGCTTTTTGGCCAGGAAGTCATTAGTGGCAAGAAAGGTGTGGCAGAAGGAGTTTTCACTGCCAGGCAAGGGTGCTTCCTTGTGATCGGGATGGCTTGATCTCAAAAGTCTAGAGTCTCAGTGTTCCAATTCTTGTCTAACTGTCTAACCATATTGAAAGATGTTGAAAGAGTTGGCTTTGCCTTCCTGGTTTTTCCACACGGTGTTTCTTTTTTGGGGAGGAAATGGTGTGCTTAGGGAAACTTGTGAAATCCATCGTGAAACTTGTGAATATTGCAGGATCTGGGGATGTTTTGAGATGTAGAGCATCTCAGTGCGTGGGTGAGTTTTCCTGGCTGAACCTTCAGGTTGGTGGTCGAGCTGGCGGATGAGTACAAGGCCGGCATGACGAAACTTGTGAGAGAGGTGTGTTTTCTTTGAGATTCTTCGTATGCCCAAATCAAAGAACTGTCTTTAACTGGACTAATGGACCTCTTCCTCAGCGTTCGCTTGTTCTCAAGTCATGGCCAAGGTTTGTTGGAACATGTTGTAACCACTGAGTGTTCAGATCGACCTTGGAGTCCTGCTGAGTGTTTCCATGATCAACGATTTGACAAGCTCATTGGCATTGAAGTTCAGAGCAGGATGGACATGCCTCAAGCTCCGGGGTGTCCCCGGAGCCGCGAGTCTTCAACTTTTCCAAACTCTAAGTGGATCCATGCTCTTGTACATGTTCTTCTCCCCCTCCGGAGGTCCTCTTGCCCGTCTTGACATCGGTGGCTCGAATCCTTTGTCGCGAAGTCTCGCCCAAAGAGGAGCGGTTCGTGTTCTCCGCGGCGTGGCGGCGGTGGTTGGGTCGGTTGGGAAAGAGTTGGTTGGATTTCAGGCCTTTTTTTTTGGGACCGTTGGGGCCGTTGGGCTGCGGTCCAAACAATTCAATCAACACAATTAACCAACTGTCGCACATTTCGGGAAGCTTTTCCAGGAAGCACTGAAGGCGAGATCAAAGACAGGTGAAGTAACCCACCAGAAAGTTTGAACTTCGAGTTCTAATCCACACTCAGCCATTGGGCATAGGTCTATGTTGAAGGCAGTTTCTACAGTGGGCCCTTGGCTTTTGCAAAACCTCCATAAATGAAGATGAAATTGTCGTATTATGTTTGAACGTTCTTTGTATTGGTGGGACATGACGTGACAAGGCGTTCTATCATGCTGCTTCACAATCTGGAAGCACGTCTGTAAGTCTGTTCAAAAGTGTTGCCAAAATTCATCCAAACTCGGTCACTTTTATTACATTTTGATAGCTTCTGGATGGCAGCCAACAGTGCAATTTTGCCGAACAGTTGGTTGCGCCCCCCATTTCTACTGCTCTTCTTCGGACCACATGAAGCCTTAAATTTGGCGGGAGGGCTCCAACGTTTGGGCGTCGGCGATTCGCCCGAGCTTCGCCCACTTGGCCACACTTGGCGTCGGTGCCAGGCAGTCTTCGAGGTCTTAGCCCTGCCACCTTGGACCGAGAGTGCCTGAAACGGTCGCAACCGTGGTGCCTGAGGGGACACAAAGTGCCGAGACGTGGTGGTGTTTGAGTCGTGGATGGACACCGAAGGTCGGATGGTTCTGGTTGAATACTCTGCCAGAGGTCTCGGACATTCCCACCAGTCAGGGCACAAAGCTTGAAGGTTTGTTTTCCCAGTTCTCACCAGCACGAAAAAGCAACATCCAGTTTCAACTGGTGCCATACGACCTGTTTTAAATGATGAGCCGTGAGGCATCTTCCTTTCCTTTTTCCATGACCAGGGATGTGTCTCAGAATACCCAAGAAGGTACTATAAGAAAGTTGTGACGTTTTGGTTGGAAGGTCCAGTGGAGTTTGGGCTTCAGAGACACTTCGCATCACTGGTCGAAGTTTCAGGTTTCTCCTCGCATTCTGAGAAACAGCCACTCATTCCTCAGTCAGAAGCTCCAGCTGCCCCTGGCAGACTCCAGTTGCTTCCATTTACGTGTATAGCCGTATAGCTGGCTGGCATGGCATATGGCACCGGCCTGCGGCCAAAAAGGAAGACGGTGGCCTTCAACGAATCAAGCACAATTAAACTGGGTGTGACCACTAAGGCAGTAAGGCAAGTCTGTATCAATTGTGTACATTTTTGCATAATTGTCTGTGTACTTATAGATAATGTTGGATCATTTGGTTGATTAATGTTCAACCCTCACCTCGTGCAAGATGCTCTACCTCTTTGGTTTGTTGAAAGACAGTACACAGATGACACAACGGTTGGTGGGGAATTGATGTGAGGAGGTGGAGCAAACTCTGAAGTTCCTCCATTTTTGTTCCACAATGTTCAAAGTTTGATCAACCTGCTGGACCGAAGCCTTTTGGCTTTGATGAAGCTTAAGGAACAATGGACCGTAGGACTTCTTCTAGGGTCCCGGGAGGCGGTTCAACAGATGCCCAGATGCATGTTTGTTTCTTCGCAACCAACAGGCAACATGAGCCTCACCAGCATGCTTCCAACACATTTCAGTAATTACATGTAATTACAAAGTTCTTCCAATTGGAACAATGAGCATCGCAGAAGAGGCCAGCGCTGAGAAAATAGATCATGCACACATATGTTATGCAAACCTTTTTTCGATGTCCTCCTTAATACTCAAGCGTCATTTGTTCTTGAAGTCTCTATGCCGTCCAGAAGGTTCTGTTGACTGTGGGGCGGCAACATGTGTTGGGCTGTGAGCAATTTTGTGTTCCAAAAGTATTGTACCTCCGCCGGGAGCTTTAATGAATGGTTTCACTCCCACTGATCACCCCATGAGGCAACCAGCAACAGCCTTCTTCGCAGGTTGCATTTTGCTGGGTTCCCAGATTGGTGCTGCTACGTACTTGTTTGCCACAAGAGGGAAGGGAACGCACGGACTAGGCCTGGGACACAGCTGACTAGGCGTTGGCATTGGGAGTGAGGAAGGTTGAAACATCTCGTCATATCGAACCTTTTGAGCCAGACACTGTGAAGTTATGTGCAAAAGGACAAGAACTCCTGCCACACAAGGTGAGTAAGTATCCCAACATGTAGACTCTTGATCGATATGTAAAACCCTTTCATAGAGGAAGAGGTTTTACGTCCTGGCGCGTTTGGTTTTGGCTCTTCGGCTCCTAGGAGCGACTGCAGAGGCCGACCGACTGGTGACGGATCCAGCGACCGGGGAGAACAGCGATGTGAGCCTTGCAATTCCATGAAGTAGACAGTATATACAGTATATATATTACATATATATACATGCTACATTTAAGCTATATAAGTATATAAGTATATATATACATAATTATATATACATACATGCATCCACCAGAGGCTCACCACCGCTTAGTGACTTCTTCAAGAAGAAAGACACCACAAGCAGCCACAGCCAAGGATCCACCTCACAGGCACCAGAGGACATCTCAGCCAGACCCACACCCAAACGACTCCACTTCCAAACCGAATTGGATGATCAGGATCAAGAAGAGCTGCACCAACAGCTGGCTGCATTGGCCATGAACCCCAGCCAACCAGCAGCAGCACAACAGCCAAACGACGATCCGGGCATAGAAGTAGACTTCTTCTGAATGTGGAGTGGGAAGGCAGACTACCACCTGATCATGGCCTACTGAAGCGCCTGAGCCGCTCGTAACCGGCCAAACGGCCTCGACATCAGCAACTCTAGGAAAAAAATACATACATACATACATACATACATACATACATACATACATACATA